TGTTTGTGTTAAATGTTGCTTTCAGACACAAAAACAACAGACAGAGAGGCAGGAGAGGACGGGGGAGATAAATGGAAGAGGAGGGACTGTAGCACAGAGACGGAGGACGGAAACATGGAGGAGAAGAGAGCGGAACATAAAGCAGATTTTTACCCTGTGAGGCCCGAACTGCAGGAGGCTGAGAAAAACTTCCTCCTGACTAAACTCATAATAACCTGCTGGATAGTTTATCGAGCTGTCGGGAGATTCAAGAGAGTGAAAAAATACACGTTATCACACAGATTCACTTCCTGTGGGAGAGCCAAACTTCGACTGTGACAGTGAAACTGAGACTCAGACAGATGAACCGGATCACTTTGATCCTGAGCGTCTCAGTGAGGAGAGACTGGAGTGACTCTGAGGTTCTCGTCTGTTTGCAGATGAAGATGGATGATGGTCGTTGACGGCTCTGAGAGGTCCAGATCAATCTGATGCTTCTGTTCAGGGATCTCAGAGTGAGCCGTGATTGTTGGCGTGAGGCTGCAGCCAGCTGTTGTTTGTAAAGGGTGACATGAACACTGAGTGTCGAGAGAGAGAGAGAGAGAGAGAGAGAGAGAGAGAGAGAGAGAGAGAGAGAGAGAGAGAGAGAGAGCAGGCTGCTGTTGACACAGTGAATCTAACCGAGACATAAATACTGCAGTGCGCCGTCCTCCACCTCACTGAGGGTGTGTGCTCCTCGCTCAGAGGTGCAGCGCCGCCCCAAATACTCAGATGTTTTCCTCCTCTGTCGCCCCGAGGACACGGCGGCAGACGTGTGAAGCGTTTCCGGCTGCAGCTCCGGGACGCTGCTGTTAGAGCGAGGAGACGCTCCTGCCTGTAATTTAATAATGCAAACTAATGTGACACATTATCCTCATCTCCTCTGACAGCGGGCTGCAAACACGAGACGACGACATAAATACTGAAGTGAGTCAGGAGAGTAAAAAATGAATGCTGTTTTAGAAATGTCAGGAGGTTAAATGAAGGAATGAATGAATGAATGAATGAATGAATGAATGAATGAAGGAGTACAGTGTGAAGAAATCAGTCTGAGGGAGAGTCACACAGAACACAGAAAAGAGTCAAATCATTTTTACAAACATGAAATCATCAGAACATCTCTCAGAGAAACAGTCCTGCCATCAGCTGTTTGGGTATTGATCATCATTAATACTGGAGCAGGAACCGTCTGAGGACGACAGCGAGACTTTAAAGGGATATTCCGTTGTAAAACTAATTTAGGGTCAAACCCACCGTAACACCGAGTCAGACCCCCCTCCAGAGATGAATGTTGTCGACCGCTTGCTTCTCTAGTTATACCAACTTTAGTAACGACCGCAGGATAGAAATACAGAGAGACACGCCCCCAACCAAAACGCCACTCTATAGCCACAAATAATGCTCAGAACAGCACCTAACTTCATAGTGAGACCTCGGGCCAGTCCATTACGGACTACAGCGGGGTGCCGCAGCTCAAGGAAGAACATTTATGATCATTTCTTTATCATTTCCTTGAAGTAATAATCACCATATTAATCATTTTACAGACGCAGTAGTTCTTCTGTCTTAGCGTCTCGGTCTGATTGTATTTCCATGAAGAAATGATCATAAATGTTCTTCCTTGAGCTGCGGCACCCCGCTGTAGTCTGTAATGGACTGGCCTGAGGTCTCTCTACAAACAAGCGGTCGACAACATTCATCTCTGGAGGCGGGGTCTAACTCGGTGTTCCGGTGGGTTTGACCCTAAATTAATTTTACAGCAGAATATCCCTTTAACTAACCCCCAAACAGATGACCAGGAAACCAGATTAAAGAGAGACTATTTACAGAGAAACTGAGACTCTCCACAGACAGAGCGGTGTTTCTCTGCCTGTTGCGTCTTGAGGTTGTGTTTATCCTGCTGCTCACTCGGTGAATCCATAAAGCTGCTCAGACGTTAGCTTTAGTTTTAACTCTGAGATTGATTTTCTTCATCTTCAGGACAAACCCTGATTTTGGCCTCGATTTTTCCACCCACACCCTCCAGAGTTTTTCCATTAACTCTCTCTAATCTACCACCTCAAACATTTGCTCCACATTCAGCCTCGGCACACTGTGGGGACCTTCAGGGCTGGGAGGAACTGCAGGCTCTCATAAAGACGGAGGATGAATTCCTCTGCATGAAGTGGAGTGAGTCAGTGATTCCTCCCTGGATTCATTTTCCTGCTGCTGACAGAGTTTAATAAGCAGAGAGAGAGTTAAGTCTGTGGGTTTAGCAGAGAATGTGTCTGACACCGTGAAGCTCTGCCCTAGATTTTTATTTAGATAACTCACACACACACACACACACTTGATAGATGTGTGTGTGTGTGTGTGTGTGTGTGTGTGTGTGTGTGTGTGTGTGTGTGTTACCCCGGTGTTACATCAGAAGCAGCTCTCTGGTTGAGAGCAGCTTTTTATATCATCCAGTTTTCTGACGCTCCAGCGTTGAGGTGGAGTTAATGTGGATTTGACAGAAAACTGTGTGTGTTTGTTTTTTAGGCCCAGAGACGCAGGAGCTCTCCTCTGGATCTGGACTCTTCTGAAGAACTCTCAGGGCCTGATGCACCATGGAGCAGGGTCCTAAGGTACTAAGACTTGCACAGATTTCCTACAGAAACACACCGTATGCTCCTCGTATCCACGGTGTTTGGACCCTCCCTGTGTTCTGGTCTGTGTGACTCTGAAAGAACCACGTAAAGCTGAGAACATACAGGATCTGTGTCTTCAGTGAGTTCTGTCAGTGTCACGTCTCTGCTCAGTCGAGCAGGGATGTCTATCGTGTACAGCAGCGGTTCTCAACTGGTGGGTCCCGACCCCAAAGTGGGTCACTAACAGCCGGTCATAAGAGTAAATATTTAATGCACATCTGATGTTTGACATGTCTTTTATTTTGAAAGGCATCCCACTGAGCGATAGACAGCTATAAGACATCTAGTTTGTTTTTCTAGACCTAATTTCAATCGTCTAGATTCTGTATATTTTTAGACGTTGCACTTTAACCCATTATTCTTTAACTATTTATTTCAAAAAGAAACTGTGAGTTTATAACTGATCTCCAAGTACTAAACCAACATAATTCTGATAGCCGTTGAGCAAAATACAGTGTAGTACAGATATAACCCAGATTTAGACTTGGTCCAAACTTGGTCTAAATTTTGACGTCTAAACAAACTTTCATTTTTAGACCTGTGGTCGTCTGATTTTAGAGCAGAAAATGCTCAGAGGCATGTGTCACGTGGTGGTTCTTCTCTTTCTTGTTAATGTGGCCTGAATGCAGGAAAATTACATATTTTTTTCTTTATTTTGATATTTTTTCACTTTTTTTCCTCCTCAGGTTCGTCTGAATGCAGAAATGCAAATAAGAAAATTTTTCTGGTCTCCATTTTGTGCAATTTGATATTTTCTGTACACACAACTGAAGGATCATGGGAAAATGTGGGTCCCAGAGTGAGACCAGTTGAGAACCAGTGGTGCACAGATGTATGTTTGGAGTGTAGCAGCAGTGAAGGGCTCAGTACAGAGGAAACAACATCAGAGCAGAAACAACACAAACTCCTTTCTGTGGTCGATTTCCTGCTGAGAGTCACCAAGGAAAAGTCTTTTTTTTTACTTACAACAACTTTATTTAAATAAGAAAACAAACATTTTATGGAGATTTGGATCCAAAAATCACCAAATCATCTTCTGCATGTCACATAGTTGGCTTTAAACACAGAGAATGAAGCTGAAGGAGATAAGGTGAGGCCGCTCCTCCTCCTCCTCCTCCTCCTCTGTCTGTTTAACCTTCTTTAACAGCGACACTCATCAGAAACGTCATCACTGACAGGACTCCACTTCAGTTCTTCAGCTTTAATACCAAAGTCTGCTGCTCTCAGGGAACTGCTGATCCATAAACAATAATCATATAAATCAAGAGGAATAATGAGCCTCCTCCTCCTCCTCCTCCTCTTCTTCTTCTTCAGATTTAAATGATCCTCAAACCTCCTCCAGCTTCTGTCCTCCTGCTGCTGTCGATGATCTCCACATGAAGAAATCGTCTTTACTCCTTAAAAATCGGATTATTTCAGTGTTAGAGAGAAACGTCTGCTGTCAGGATGAGAGTTTTAACGGTAAAAATACGACCCTGACATTTACGGGACAAAATCAGCAGGAAAAAGAGATAAGAGTTTGTCCAAAAGGGGGCGCCAAAACTGACAAAAACTGAAACTGAGTTTAAGGACAGAAAAAAAATGACATGAATTTTATTTGACGGATAAATCAGAGTTAGCCGAACTTTATAATCAGCACTTTATATAACTCTATAATCATGTAATCATAACTGTCTGACTGTGAGATTTAAGCTTCTTATCAACTTTATTCTTGGAAATAATTCACATGATTTATCTGCAGTATTGTCAGGACTTTTATTCTGAAAATCTTCATATGAAAAACCTTAAATGTGTGTCTGATGTGAGGACCTGAAGCACCTCCTCACATGATCCTCATGGTTTGGTTTTCTTCCAGAGTTTCAGACTCGGGTCAGAACTGCCCCAGGCCAGACCAGACCAGACCAGACCAGACCAGGACCAGGACCAGGACCAGGACCACACATCCGTCCTCTGAAGATCTGTGTAAACCTGAGAACTCGGTAACAGACCGCTGGACACGAGTTTTGTTTGATGAGTGACAACTTTGGTTTTACTTCCTTCAGATGAACCAACAAAAACATGACCGAGAGACTGAGACTGATGATCAGAGAGAGTCCACTGTGACGAAGATCTGCAGCCAGGAGGAGGAGGAGGAGGAGGAGGAGGAGGAGGAGGAGGAGGAGGTCTGTCAGGTCAGTTAATCCACCAACAACAGAGTCAAGAGTCACAGCATGTCTCCTCTGTGGTTTCCAGTGTCTGTTTGAGTATCACACACACACACACACACACACACACACACGTCCGCTCTCAGAGTGTGTGTGTGTTCTGCCTTCGTCACGCCGAGCCCAAACTGTCAAAACCACAAAACTTCCAGCGTTTCTCCAGAGTCGCTCCGACGCCGCTCAGCTCCTGACGAAACATGGAGGGCAGACGGACCATGAGGCGCTCCAGCTCGCCCGCAGACACCTGAGAGAGAGAGAGAGAGAGAGGTACAGGTGGGCTGAGGTTGAACCAGGTATTTTAAAGGTGAGTCAGCTCTGCTTCAGTCCTCTTCATCATCATCTTCATCCACATGGGTGTTAAAAAGCGTTTGTTCACGTCTTCATAGATGAACTCATAATGATTCTCAGACGTCAGTAAAACTGAACTAAACTCAGCTCCTCATCATCGGCTGACGGTGCGACCATGACTGTTTTTACAGAGTGGCGAGGAATCAAACCAGAGACCTCTGAGACGGGGCCGCAGACCCGGTTTATGATCCTTGATTTTAATGATTGAGTGTTTTTCTTGGACTGCTGAAAACCTTCCAGCTCTGCCTCGTGTTGATCGAACCCTGATCCTACAGGATGTGAGTGTCTCTACCTTTGAGTCCAGTCTCTGGATGTAGGACCACAGATACTCCAGGTTCGCTCCAAACGGGTGGACGTGCAGGAAGGTGGAGATGATGCCTGCAGAGAAGAAGACAGAAAGGTGAGACAGGTGAGCGCCACCTGCAGGTGTAAAAACACCAGAATGCCCTTTAACAACGAGCGGCTCTGCTGCATCAGTCTGATGTTCTCGCTCTTAATGGAGGTTCCGCCATCTGTGTTGGTGAATGCTGAGAGAGAGCTGGCTAATATAGAGCTGACAGAGAGGGAGGCGGAGGTGGAGTCGAGGCCAAGACCTGCATCCTCCTGAAGTTCTGCACAATAAACAAACTGCAGAGCTGCTCTTTGGAAAAACCGCTGGCTGGAGCAGAAAACGCTCCTGACGTGATTACTCCTGAGAGGTCCTGGGAAGGTAGGCAGTCATGCAGAGGGAGTGGGCTGTGTGTGAGTGTGTGTGTGTGTGTGTGTGTGTGTGTGTGTGAGTGTGATGGGGGGTAGAGTGGCGTCCCCTGGAGGACCGGGCACAGCCAATATTTATTTCCTTGATTTATGTGGCGAAACGTTGGCAATTACAGACGGGCCTAATTCAATTCCTTCCAGCAGAGCTGCTCACATGGAACAGAGCTGCAGAGTGTGTGTGTGTGTGTGTGTGTGTGTGTGTGTGTGTGTGTGTGTGTGTGTGAGTGTGTGTGCACTTAAAGAAGAAAGTTAAGAGTCCAGCTCTCAGCGAGGAAACCACTAAAGGCTCGCTGTTCTTGGTGTTCTTGTTTATGTTTTAACACATTTCTGAGAAAAACTCCAGCGTGACGGTGAAAGCAGATTCACTGCAGCAGGTCTGTGAAGGTCCAGGGTCTTCAGGGTCATGGTGGGTCGATGTGTTGATGAGGACGTCATATCGATAAGCTTTTATTGTGAAATAAAGGGTTTCAGAGGAAGGTAACGGACTCCAGTAGAAACACAGATACAGACAGAAGATCTCAGCACCTTCACACAAACAGGAAACGTTGGTCACCCGTTCTTTTACGGTACACTTATTACCAGGTAATTACCTGTTAATTACCTGGTAACAACATGAAATTATCTGGTAATTACATGATTACTACTAAGTCAATACTGTCTAGTTTTTCCATTTTCAAAAGCTATTTGAGGTTCTTATTTTCTATGACTGACACTTGATACAGCCTATGGGCGTGCGAAGATTGCGTAGTGATACGCTGTTTGAGCCGAGCGTCATCACAGCGACTCACCCGCTGAATGTGTACAACGCTACTGCGCAAGAGGTGGTTCGAAGAAGCGGAGAAAATCCTGGAGATATCAGAGCAATTCAGCTTCAGATCTGTACGATGATGGAAGGTTACCTACCTGGTAGATAGACAGTACTGACTTAGTAGTTATCATGTAATTACCAGATAATTTCATGTTGTTACCTGTTAATTACCAGGTAATTAACAGATAATTACCTGGTTATAAGTGTACCATAAAAGAAAGCGTTACCCCTGTTTCCTGACTTTGAGAGAAAGTTAAAAGAGGAAACTCGTCCTCTGAATAACGACAGACTCTCTCTCTCTCCCTCTCTCTCTCTCTCTGTTGTTGTTTCAGCTGAAAGTCTGGAGGAGTCTCCACAGTCTGTGAAACCAGAGGACCTTTTCTGCATCAGTTCATCATCCTGACGCTCATCTGTGTGGAGAAGCTGACCGTGAGAGCTCCTGGAGACCTGTGTCTCCAGCAGACTGTGGGGCTGTGAGCCTCCTCTCTCCTTCATATCTGGATTTTCTCTGCACAGCTAATAGAGATAAATGTGCTGCTGCTGTTCCTCGGCTCTCCTCTGCTCCGGACTCACTGATCACTGCGAGCTGCTCTCAGAGCTGCTGCTGCTGCACGTCCTGCAGCATCAGGATTTATAGCACCGAGACAAACACACAGCTGAGATGGATTCAGTCCAGCTGCTGTGTGTTTGTGACGTTAACACACACAGAAAGGAGACAGCGGAGTGTAAACTGTGAGTACATGATGCTGCTGCTGCTGCTGTATGAGCCTCTCTCACCTCAGTGTCAGTGGTATGTGTGGGGGTGTTCAATCATCTTTAATGCTAAGCTAACAAACAGTCAGAGCCTGCTGTGCACCGCTCTGTCTCTGCAGGAAACACAAAGAAATCAATGCAGAGACGTGTAGCATAAACAGCACCTCCTGCACAGACTCCACATGAACGTTAATCTGTTATTACAGCTGTGAGGAAGTTCAAGGCACACGTCTGTAATCCAGGTCTGTGAGCAGGACTCCTCAAAGCATGCACGCACGTGCAGTTTAGGGCAGGTGTGCTCCCTCTGCCTCAGGGCCTCTGCACTCCAACAGTGAGGAGTGATACCACACCCCCGCCCAGCAGGGTCCGACAGGGTCCTACTTTATCATAATCTGAGAATTCTTCTTCTTGTTTCACTTCTTCTTGATCATTTTGCACCAAAGTGGTCCAGACTGTAACATAATCCTCTTATTTCAAAGTGCTGATACTAAAACTGTAAAACTGCTCCTCTCTCTCTCAGCAGGAGGTCATACCCACCTAAAAGCAGCGCCTCCTTTTCAGTTGTGACTCCGCCCCTCATGATGACCTCGGTCCTCCTCTCTCGGCTGAAGAACAGAGCAGGAACACACCCGTTCAGACCCTGTCAGCACAAACATCAGTAAACCACATCAGTCATCGGTTAGCTGAGGTTCTTTAAACACGCCAGGCTGATGTCACTCCTTTAACTTAAATGCAGTAATTTGACCTTTGACACTTCTACCATTAGTGCGTCCCTCTGCACGGACTCATACAAACACAGAGAACATGCTGTACACGCTGTGCATGAAACAGGCTCTTAGGAATATACACAGATCATACATGTTTAATCGAACACGTCACAGATTTACACAGAGAGGCGTCTCTGTGCAGATTTATTTATAGATCATCCTCCTTCAGCCCTCGCCTCAACAGCTCCGGGGTTAAAAGTTTATCTCTAGACACATAAACATGTATAGATGTGTGTGTGTGTAATATTCGTCTCCGTATTTCAGAGTCTTGTTGTGGATTTTACCTTGTCATGCAGCTCTCCATTGGTCCCCTCCACGGCCTCCACGCTGTTATTCAGCAGCTAAACAGAAACAGAGAGAGAGAGAGAGAGAGAGAGAGAGAGAGAGTCCTGTGTGATGAGCTCCACCATGATTTCAGTGTTTAGTCTGCAGCAGAGGAGAGCTTGTTTTATAAATGTGTCTGTTAAACACCAGGATCTGATCTGCTCAATGATTCAACATCACATCAAACAAACACACACACACACACACACACACACATGCATTAAAGGGACACGTACTTCAGTGTGAGGAGACTCTGTAACACAGAAGAACCTCCTCTACCTTTGTTTTTATTCTCTGTGTATGACACTTACGTCTTTCTTATTGCAAAATATACTAAAACAAAATAAAATAAACTGAAATATAATAAAACAAACCAAAATAAAATATGAAAAAAAAAAACAGAACAAAACTTACCTAAATTAAAAAATAAAATGGGACAAAATAAACTAAATAAAATGAAACAAACAAACAAAAAATTAGAATGTGACATTTTTTAAACATATTATTCTCGATTGACATTTTATTTCATACTATACCATGACATTTCTATCTTACATAACTTTTTTTTTTTATATATGCTATTCTGTGACGTTTTTATTATACTATATTTTGATGTACCACACATGGGTTGGCTAAGTGGCGCAGTAGGTAGGGCAGGTGTCTCACATCATGAAGGTCACTAGTTCGAATCCCGGGTAGGGCATGGTCTCTGAGTGTGATGTTTGCATGTTCTTCCTCTGCATCCGTGGGTCAGCACTGCGTCTTCCTTCCAGAGACCATGAACGAACACACTATATTATGACATGTTTTATCATACTATGCTATTTCATTTTTAGTACACTATACTATGACCTTTTTTATTATACAATACTATTAAATCTTTTTAAAACTATACCATAATATTTTTATACTATACTATGACATTTTTATCATACTATACTATTAACTTTTTTATTATACTTTACTATGACAATATTAATCAAATTATACTAAAACATTTTTTAACATACTTCATTATTAATTTTTTTATCATACAATATGTCTTTTTTGTCATACTTCACAACATTTTTTTTAATACTATACTATACATTTTTTTATCTCGCTTTACTGATTTTTTTTGACGTACTATACTGTTACGTTTTTATGATACTTGACTTTGGTGTGTGAAATTTGGGACAGCACAGTGGCGCAGTAGGTTTGGCATGTGCCTGACAGCAAGAAGGTCACCAGTTCAATTCCCAGGTAGGGCAGGGCCATTGTGTGTTGGACGTTTGCATATTCTTCCTGTGCATGCCTGGGTTAACGCTTGACTCTCCATCTTCTTTCCACAGACCAAGAACAAACATGCTTTATGATTACAATTTTAATTGTACAACACAATGAAATTTCTATCATTTTTTACCCTATGAATATTTTCAGACATACTATACCATGACAGTTTTATCATACTATACTATGACATTTATTTTTCATACTAATATAGGAATTGGTTTTACACTAAAATCTGAAGTTTTTAACATACTATACTATGGCATTTTTATCATACTATAATATGAGATTTTTTTCATTCTAAAATTTGATTTTTTTTTCAAACTAAATTTTAACATTTTCAACATACTATACTAGGACAGTTTTGTCATGCTATACTATGACATTCATTTTTCATAATAAAATAGGAATTCTTTTTCACACTAAGATTCGAAATTTTAAACTATACAAAGGCATTTTTATCAAAGTGTACGATGACATTTATTTGTCATACCAAAATATGATTTTTTTTCACACCTAAATTCGAAATTTTTAACATACTGTACTATGGCATTTTTATCATACAATACTATGACAGCTTTTTTCATTCTTGAACTTGATTTTGTTATTCAAAGTAAAATTTGAAATTTTCAACGTACTATACTATGGCATTTTTATCATACAATACAATGACATCTTTTTCATTCTTAAATTTGATTTTTTTTCACATTAAAATTCGAAATTTTCAACATACTATACTATGACAGTTTTATCATACTATACTATGACATTTTTTTCATACTAAAATAGGAATCTTTTTTTCATCCAAAAATATAAAATTTTTAACATACTATACTATAGCATTTTTATCATACTATACTATGACATTTTTTTCATTCTTAAATTAAATTTTTTTTTCACACCAAAATTTGAAATTTTTAACATACTATGCTATGGCATTTTTATCATACTATACTATGACTTTTTTTTTCATTCTAAAATTTGATTTTTTTTCACAGATTAAAATTTGAAAATTTTAACATACTATACTAAGGCATTTTTTATCATACAATACTATGACATTTTTTTCATGATAAATTAAAAATTTTTTTTCACACTAAAATTTGAATTTTTCTACATACTATACTATGGCATTTTTATCATACTATACTATGACTTTTTTTCATACTAAAATTTGATTTTTTTTCACACTAAAATTTGAAATTTTTAACATACTATACTATGGCATTTTTTATCATACTATACTATGACTTTTTTTCATTCTAAAATAGGAATCTTTTTTTCATCCAAAATATAAAATTTTTAACATACTATACTATGGCATTTTTATCATACTATACTATGACGTTCATTTGTCATACTAAGATATGAATCTTTTTTTTCCAAAAATAAAAAAATCTTTACTATACAATACTATGACAGCTTTATCATCATGGTGAACAATAACATTAATTTTCCATACTAAAATACGATTTTTTTTTCACACTAAAATTTAAAATTTCCTACATACTATAATATGGCATTTTTTTTCATACAATACAATGACATCTTTGTCTTTCTTAAATTTGATTTTTTTTTCACACTAAAATTTGAAATTTTCTACATACTATACTATGACAGTTTTATCGTACTATACTATGACATTTTTTTTCATACTAAAATAGGAATTCTTTTTTTCATTCAAAAATATAAAATTTTTAACATACTATACTATGGCATTTTTATTATACTATACTATGACTTTTTTTTCATTCTTGAATTTGAATTTTTTTTTCACACTAAAATTTGAAAATTTCAACATACTATACTATGGCATTTTTTATCATACAATACTATGACTTTTTTTTTTCATTCTAATATTTGTTTTTTTTTCACACTAAAATTTGAAATTTTTAACATACTATACCATGACAGTTTTATCATACTATACTATGACATTTTTTTTCATTCTTAAACAGAAATCTTTTTTTCATCTAAAATATAAAGTTTCTAACATACTATACTATGGCATTTTTATCATACTATACTATGACGTTCATCTTTCATACTAAGATGCGAATCTTTTTTTAATCCAAAAATAAAAGATCTTTACTATACTATACTATGACAGCTTTATCATAGTGTACTTTAACATTAATTTTCCATACTAAAACACGATTTTTTTTTCACACTAAAATTTAAAATTTCCTACATACTATACCATGGCATTTTTTTTCAAACAATACAATGACATCTTTTTCTTTCTTAAATTAGATTTTTTTTTCACATTAAAATTTGAAATTTTCAACATACTATACTATGATAGTTTTATCATACTATACTATGACATTTTTTTCATACTAAAATAGGCATCTTTTTTTCATCCAAAAATATAAAATTTTTAACACACTATACTATGGCATTTTTATCATACTACACTATGACATTTTTTTCATTCTTGAATTTAATTTTTTTTTTCACACTAAAATTTGAAAATTTCAACATACTATACTATGGCATTTTTTTTATCATACAATACTATGGCATTTTTTTCATGATAAATTAAAAAAAAATTTCACACTGAAATTTGAAATTTTCAACATACTGTACTGTGGCATTTTTATCATACTATACTATGACGTTCATTTTTCATGCTAAATTTTAAAAAAATTTTCACACTGAAATTTGACATTTTTAATATACTATACTATGGCATTTTTATCATACTATACTATGACATTTTTTCATTCTTAAATTTAATTTTTTTTTCACACTAAAATTTGAAATTTTTAACATACTATACTATGGCATTTTTTATCATACAATACTATGACTTTTTTTATTCATTCTAAAATTTGTTTTTTTTTCACACTAAAATTTGAAATTTTTAACATACTATACCATGACAGTTTTATCATACTATACTATGACTTTTTTTCATTCTAAAATAGAAATCTTTTTTTCATCTAAAATATAAAATTTCTAACATACTATACTATGGCATTTTTATCATACTATACTATGACGTTCATCTTTCATACTAAGATACGAATCTTTTTTTAATCCAAAAATAAAAGATCTTTACTATACTATACTATGACAGCTTTATCATAGTGTACTTTAACATTAATTTTCTATACTAAAACACGATTTTTTTTTCACACTAAAATTTAAAATTTCCTACATACTATACCATGGCATTTTTTTTCATACAATACAATGACATCTTTTTCTTTCTTAAATTAGATTTTTTTTTCACATTAAAATCTGAAATTTTCAACATACTATACTATGATAGTTTTATCATACTATACTATGACATTTTTTTCATACTAAAATAGGCATCTTTTTTTCATCCAAAAATATAAAATTTTTAAAACACTATACTATGGCATTTTTATCATACTACACTATGACATTTTTTTCATTCTTGAATTTACTTTTTTTTTTTTCACACTAAAATTTGAAATTTTCCACATACTATACTATGGCATTTTTATCATACAATACAATGACATCTTTTTCTTTCTTAAATTTGATTTTTTTTTCACATTAAATTTTGAAATTTTCAACATACTGTACTATGGCATTTTTATCATACTATACTATGACATTTTTATCATTCTATCCTGACATTTTTTTTCATTCTTAAATTTGATTCCGTTTTTTACACAAAAATTTGAAACTGTAAACATACTTTTCTATGACAGTTTTCTCATGCCATACTATGGCATTTTTATCATACAATACTATGACATTTTTTTCATTCTGAAATTTTAATTTTTTTTCACACTAAAATTTTAAATTTTTAACATGCTACACTATGACAGTTTTATCATGCTATACTATGACATTTTTTTTTCATACCAAACTATTAGATTTTTCATCACACAAAAATTTCAAATTTTAACATACTAGACATTTTTTCATACTATACCATGAAACTTTTTTCATATTGTACTTTGAAATTTTTTCATACTGAATTTGAACATTTTTTTCACACTAAAATTTGAAATTTTTACCACACTATACCATGAGATTTTTTATCATACAAAATGACATTTTTTCATACTGAAATATGAATTTTCTCATCCAAAAATATTAAATCTTCACATAGTAACACCTGTTAAACACTTCTCTGCAGTCTGAAAGGCTGCCCTCAGTGCAAACCATTCACACCTTCAGGGAGTGTGTGTAAACGACGTGTGCTTAAGGGACATTGTCATTCCAGCCCCAGCCTACAGGGGGACAGCCTCGCATGGACTTAAACACTCACACACTTTCAGGCCCCCACTTGGCTCAAATTAAAAAAAACTTCACCAGAGTGTGTTACACATGATTTTAGCATGATTTACAGCATGACCAAGAGGGGACCTAAAAAATGACCCTGTTGGCTATGAGGTCCCCTCTTGGTGGAAGTATCACAACGCCAAATTCCCCTCTTGGATAGGTAGGAAAGTACACAACACACACACACATACAAACACTTTGGCCTGCCTGAGGTCAAACCACTCTCCACTCAGCAGGAAAAACATCCAGACATAACCATTACCATGGCAACCCAGTGTCCTTCAACCCCCACCATCAGTCCAATGTTTTAAAACACAGTGTGTGTGTGTGTGTGTGTGTGTGTGTGTGTGTGTGTGTGTGTGTGTGTGTGTGTGTGTGTACAGACCGTTAAAGTAAAGCACTTTAAAAGGAATCAGGCCCTCTGGGTTTCTCTCAGGTGAATTACAGTGATGCACAGACATGAAAGTGTGTGTGTGTGCGTGTGAGAGTGTGTGTGTGTGTTTTGGACCTAAAACTCCCGTTAAGTAAACCCGACTGTCGGCTGTGTTTCATGTTCAGATGCAGAAACTGTTCAGTCTCAGCAGATTCAGAGACGATCAACCAAACCAAACCCTGATCCACTCGATCAACTGAGAGCGCCGGCACACACCTTGTCTCTGAGCGTAAGCACCTCCCCCTCCAGGTAACGATGCTCCTCTCTGGCCTTCTCCAGCTCTGCCTCTTTACTCTTCAGCTTCTCCTGCAGACTCAAGAGCTGCTGCAGAGGCAAACACAGACACACTCACATGTTAGTGAAGACAGACACAATAATCTGTATTCACGTGTGACCTCCAAATGACCTCTTTTTCTCCTCCGTTTCTGTATCTGATCGGACGGTTTTAATTCCAGCGAAGCTCCGAGTTTGATCGTCACGTCGGCTGCAGGAGGAAGATCAGGTGACAAACCAGGAGTGACAGTTTGGTGACGTTTCCTCAGTCAGAGAGCAGTCAGATCAGAGACACTAAAACAAGCCAGCAGGCTGTGTGTGTGTGTGCGTGTGTGCGTGCGTGTGTGTGTGTGTGTTACGTGCCTGCTACTATCAGCGCTGTCACTTTTTATTGAGACAGACAGGAAGTCGAGTCACATCAGGCTAACTCGTACCGAACGAGCGCCGCGCTCTAACAAACCGCCAGCGTGTTTATGGAATTGGAGCAGCAAAGCATCATGGGAGGGCTCTGAGTCAGCGCAGAAAAACACTCTGCTTGTTTTTGTGTTTGCTTCAGGGAAGTAAATAAACTCAGCTCGCAGCTGTTTTCTGACGCCGACCTGCCTGAGCACACACTTTGAAACACACACACACACCTTTAAACACACACACACCTTTGAACAGAGTCACATTCACACGTTCTGATCCGTCTGCAGGTTTAACCCTGTGAGGAAGGAAGGAGGAAATCTACTTCTAGACTTCTAGAATCAGCATCTCTTCATCATCCTCATGACCAGACTGCTGTCTCTCTCTCTCTCTCTCCCTCTCTCTCTCTCTCTCCCTCTCTCTCTCTGTCTCTCCCTCTCTCTGTCTCTCTCTCTCTCTCTCTCTCTCTCTCTCTCTCTCTCTCTCTCTGGAGATGGCATGTGAGTGCTGAGAGCTGAGAGCGAATCAATCTTTGATTCAACTTTTTTTCTAATTTCGTTTCTTTTCTTTCTTCTATCGTCACTGTATTGAATGGTCATTGTTTGGATTATTTGTTCATAACTTTTGGTTAAACAGTTCAGTGTTTTTTGTGTGTTTTCTTCGTGCCTCGTGGCGAGGATGGCGTCCTCTGAGACGCCACCTCCGCCAGCGTCCCTGAGACACGGCGTGAGACTGGTGCCACCGCCGGCCTCCTCTGTGGAGCAGGTCCTGTTGGCTGTGGGAGACCAGGTGGGCCACGGTAATATCTCATATGCCTCCCGCATGAACAAAGCCGTGGTAGTGTTTCTAAAAGAACAGACACATGTTACCAAACTTATTGAGGATGGATTAACCCTCAACGAGGAGTTTATCCAAGTTTCCCCGCTGGCTCTGCCGTCCACCGTGTCCGGCGTCCCTCCATTCATCCCGAATGAAGCGCTGGAACGGGAGCTCAAGCGGTTCGGTAAGTTCGCCAGTGGTTTTCGTACTGTTGCTTTGGGATGTAAAGATGCTAAGCTAAAGCATGTTCAGTCTCTGAGGAGACAGGTCTTCATGTTTTTAGACTCTCCAGCTCAGACACTGGATGTGTCCTTCCGTGTAAAACACGAGGAAGGTTTTTACATGGTGTATGCTAGCTCAGGGAGTAGTTTTGAGTGTGGAGACGTGGGCCATAAACGTGTCGCTTGTCCTCACCGACAGCACACGGTGAGACCCGCTGAAGATGACAGCAGGGAGGTGAGCGGTGGGGCCGGTAGGCCGGTGTGGGGCGGTGCTGCGGCCGTCTCGGGTGTGGCGGGTCCGGCGGCGGCTGCCGCGGGTCCCTCGGGCTCGGCGGCGACTGCCGCGGCTCCCGTGGGTGCGGCGGCGGCTGCCGCGGGTCCCTCGGGCTCGGCGGCGGCTGCCGCGGCTCCCGTGGGTCCGGCGGCGGCTGCCGCGGGTCCCTCGGGTCCGGCGCCTGCTGCCTTGGGCTCCGTGGGTTCGGCGGCGGCTGCCGCCGGTCCCTCGGGCTCGGCGGTGGCCGCCGCCGGCCCGGTGCGCGGGGCGGCGCTAAAGTCTGTTTTGGGTTTTGGACCTGGAATGGTGAAAAATCAGCCCTTGAGTTGTGTGACTGAAGAGTGTGAGGATGAGATCAGTGTGGAGCAGGATGAGGCTCACACAGCAGGGCAGGCGGAGACCTGCGCTCCTGAGCAGGGTGGGGCTGCTGCAGGTGAGCCGATGCAGGAGGAGGCTGCTGGCACGGCGCAGCAGCTGAGGACTGACTCTCGGGCTGCTCCAGCTCACAGTCAACAGGCAGTAGGTTTCTCAGATGCTGATGTAGACTCTGATTGTGTCTCTGTAGCAGACAGTGTGTCACTAAATCCAGACCTATACTCTCTTGAGGAGGTGACAGAGTTTCTAGATGACTCCTTTGGGAGATCAGTGGAGGTCACAGACTATTTCCCAGATATGCAGAAGTTTGTCCGGTCTGTGGACACTCTGCAGAAGGTCGTAGGTAAGGAGTTTTTATGTAATAAAAAAAGGTATCGCCTCAAAAAGCATGTGTCTAATGTGAGGAAAATTCTTAAAGGTAAACAGATATTGAAAAAAAGGAAAGTTTCCAAGTAATCCAGAATGATTGTACAATACCAGGTGTTTTCTCTTTGCTGTGTTGGTCTGTCTTTCCTGCTGCTCTGTCTGTCTTCTCCTCACATGCAGCCCTTTACAGTTGCATCTTTAAATATTAATGGGGGTAGAAGTCCACAGAAAAGAGCTCTAGTGTCTGAAATTATCAGACAGAAAAAGATAGAGGTCGTCTTTCTACAAGAAACACACAGTGACAGTGTTAATGAGACAGACTGGGGAATTTGGTGGGGGGGGCAGTACGCACTCAGCCATGGCTCCAATCGAAGTGCTGGGGTGGGTATTTTATTCTCCCCCTCCTTACCGGTAAACATTTTATCCAGCTCAGAAATCATGGCGGGAAGAGCTTTGATGGTGAAGGTGGAAATTCTGGGGTTTGCTTTCACTTTTCTTAATATCTATGCACCCAATCAAAGCTCTGAACGTTTAGTCTTATTTAATTTATTAAAAAACGTTTTAGGGAACAGCAGCAGTCAGGGAGAGTGCATAATAATGGGAGGGGACTGGAACTGCTGTACGGATGGCACCTTAGACAGGATAGGGCAGGAGCTCCAGTCCCAATCATCCTCTTTCCTGGCTCAGATGTTGACGGAGTTTAACCTGGTCGACATCTGGAGGTTAAAACATCCCACCGATAAACAGTACACTTGGGTGAGAGTCTCTGACGGCATGGTCAGTGCAGCCAGACTCGACAGATTTTATATGTCCTCTTCTTTTAGCAGTCGTGCAGCCAGGTGTCAAATCCATCCTGTTGGCTTCACAGACCATCACTTAGTTTTATTAGAAATGGTTTTAACCTCTCCTGGAAAGTTAAGCTTTTACATGATTTTAACTTTTGTAATAATTTTAAATTATTTTGGGCTGAATGGAGGTCAAGGAAGGAGAATTTCCCCTCTCTAGGTCAGTGGTGGGAGGTAGGAAAGGGACAGATTAGGGTGTTCTGCCAGCAGTACACCGCCTACTCCACTGCTGACGTCCGGAGGGCCATGGACCAACTGGAGGCAGAGATCGGGGAGCTGGAGGGTGTGCCTGTGGGGAACCCTGAGCAGCTGCTCTCCAAAAAACAGCAGCTGAACTCCTTCCTCCTGGAGAAAGCCAAAGGAGCCCTGGTCCGAGCCCGCTTCACTGCCATCAAGGACATTGATGCACCAACAACCTTCTTTTTTAACCTGGAGAAGTCAGAAGCCCAAAAAAAACAAATGGTGTGTCTCAGTCTGCCTGATGGGGGGTTAACCTCAGACCCCGCTGAGATGAGGAGGCATGCAGTGTCCTTTTACTCAGAGCTGTTTCGAGCGGAACAATGTGATGGAGAGGCTGCAGCTGAACTCCTGCAGGACCTTCCTCAACTGAGCCCAGCAGATCGGGATGCCCTGAGCCTCGACATTACCATGGAGGAGCTAACCTCTGCAGTAAAACACATGGCCTCAGGCAAAGCACCGGGTATGGACGGGTTACCAGCGGATTTTTACAAACACTTTTGGAATACCCTGGGACATGATCTTCTGGACGTGTTTCGGGAGTCCTTCCAGAGGGGAACTCTTCCAGCTTCCTGCAGGCGGGCAGTAATATCGCTGCTACCCAAGAAGGGGGACCTCACCCTACTTAAAAACTGGAGACCAGTGGCCCTGTTATGTAGCGACTATAAAGTACTGTCAAAGGTTTTAGCTAATAGACTGAAGGTGTTTATGGATGGTTTTATTGGTACTGATCAGTCCTACTGTGTCCCTGACAGATCCATCCTGGACAATCTGTTTTTAATGAGAGACATTTTTGATGTGTGCAGACTCTATAATTTAAAGACTGGTGTACTCTCAATTGACCAGGAGAAGGCCTTCGATCGTGTTGATCACTCCTTTTTATTTTCCACACTGCAGGCCTTTGGTGTTGGGGAGCACTTCTTGTCCTGGGTGAAGCTGTTGTACACGGGTGCATGTTGTGTGGTTAAAGTGGGGGGTGGACTAAGCAGTCCTGTACCAGTGAGCAGAGGCATCAGGCAGGGCTGCCCCCTCTCTGGTCAGCTGTACAGTGTGGCCATTGAGCCCCTTCTTTGTCTGCTCAGGAGGCGGTTAAGGGGATTGTGTCAGCATATGCTGATGATGTGAATGTTTTTGTTCAGGGCCAGGAAGATGTTAAAGAACTTAAGCATTGCCTGGATCTGTATGAGAGGGCTGCATCAGCCAAAGTAAACTGGGAGAAGAGCGAGGCAGTTTTAGTCGGCCACTGGAGTACAGGAAGCACCCCTAGTCTTCCTGGTGGCCTTAGGTGGGGTAGCAGAGGGCTCAAGGTCTTGGGAGTGTATTTGGGTAGGGAGGAAACCACTGCTAAAAACTGGGAGGGAGTGCTGGAGAAGGTGAAAGCCAAGTTATCTAAATGGAAATGGTTGCTACCTCAGATGTCTTACAGGGGAAGAGCTCTGATCGTCAATAACCTGGTGGCCTCGTCTCTGTGGCACAGGCTCCAAGTTCTGGACCCTCCACCAAGCCTCGTGGGACAGCTGCAGCGACTCCTGGTGGACTTTTTCTGGTCGGGTCACCATTGGCTTCGAGCGTCAGTCCTATACCTTCCTGTGGCAGAGGGGGGGCAGGGCCTGATAGACATCGCCTCCAGGACCGCTGCCTTCAGGCTTCAGGCAGCTCAACGTTTCCTGTACGGACCTTCTCACTGCTGGTTGGATGTAGCTCGGCTGCTGCTCCGGAAGGCTGGGCGGCTTCGCCTCGACAAACAGCTGTTTCTCCTGAAGCCCCCTGCTCTCACCTTCACTGATCTTACACCTTTCTACAACTCTGTGTTTGTTGCGTGGAGGACTCTGGTTGCCACTCGACCATCTGACCCCAAGCTTGGGATGTGGCTGTTTGAGGAGCCACTTTTTGACAATGACCTTCTCGTTACCACCACGGTTTTATCTAACACCTTAAAAAGTGTCCTCACTCAAGCTGGAGTAGTTAAGCTTGGACATCTCACACGAACACCTGTAGAGAGTCTGGCTGACATGACCGGAGTAAGATCAACAAGAGTGCTGCTGAACCTGGTGAAGGAGGTGTGGCAGTCTCTGTCGGGGCCCCTCCGGACTTTTGCTCAGGGACGGGGTTTGGCTGAACGTTGGAGAGAGGGCCAAGACTACATCTTCCCCACCCTGAGTGTGAGTCCTGCAGTGGGAGAATGGAGGGAGGAGAGTGGACTGTTGCTGACGTTACAGAGACCAGTACTGGGAGCCTTCAGCTCCTGCACAGGGAAGCAGCTGTACCTCAGCTGTGTCAAAGTACTCAACCTGCGCTCCCTCACGGGAGTCAGAGAGTCGAGGTGGACAGAGGTTTTTGGCTCAGACTTTTCCCCTAATGGCAGCTGGAGGGTCCTGTATAAGCCTCCTGTTGAGAAACGCACAGCGGATCTCCAATGGAGGATTATACACGGAACGATAGCCACAAACAGGTACAGAGCTCACCTTGATCCGGCCAATGGGGAGGGATGTCCATTCTGCTCCCAGTCAGAGACTGTAGAGCACCTGGTGCTGTCCTGTCCCAGACTGGCAGCTCTTTTTAAAGTGGTGCAGGAGTGGGTGGGGGGTTTGGGGGAGGTTTTCTCGTTCCCACTCTTTGTTTTTGGACCCAAATACACTCCCAAGAAAAAGAAATCAGTGGTATTGCTCAACTTTGTTTTTGCGAGTGCTAAATTAGCCATCTGGAAGACTCGCAAAAACAAGGTTCTTGGGGTGGACTGGACTGACCCGGTCTGTTGCCTCAAAGGCTTGGTGGCGGCACGTCTCAGGGTTGAGCACACCTTTTATAAACTGACGGAAAATTTGGATGGTTTCAGGGATGTGTGGGCTATCGGACAAGTCCTGTGCTCACTGGAGGAAAATGGCTCCTTAGTGCTGAATTTCTAAAGGACTGATTTTTAGTGTGTGTGCTTGTGTGTGTGTGCGTGCGTGCGTGTGTGTGTGCGTGCGCGTGTGTGTGTGTATGTGTGTGTGTGTGTGCGCGTGTGTTACTATTTATTTAAACCAACAGTACTAATCTGGTTTTAAGATTTTGTCAGAATGGTTCAAAAATAAAGTTTGTTAAAAGTCAAAAGTCTCTCCCTCTCTCTCTCTCCCTCTCTCTCTCTCTCTCGCCCCCTGTCTCTCTCTCTCTCTCTCTCTCTCTCTCTCTCTCTCTCTCTCTCTCTCTCTCTCTCTCGCCCTCTGTCTCTCTCTCTCTCTCTCTCTCTCTCTCTCTCTCCCCTTCTCTCTCTCTCTCTCTCTCTCTCTCTCTCCCTCTCCCTCTCCCTCTCTCTCTCTCTCTCTCTCTCTCTGTCTCTCTCTCTCTCTCTCTCTCTCTCTCTCTCTCTCCCTCTCTCTGTCTCCCTCTCCCTCTCTCCCTCTCTCTCCCTCTCTCTCTCGCCCCCTCCCTCTCTCTCTCTCTCTCTCTCTCTCTCTCTCTCTCTCTCTCTCTCTCTCTCTCTCTCTCTCTCTCTCTCTCTCTCTCTCTCTCTCTCTCTCTCTCTCTCTCTCTCTCGCCCCTGTCTCTCTCTCTCTCTCTCTCTCTCTCTCTCTCTCTCTCTCTCTCTCTCTCTCTCTCTCTCTCTCGCCCCCTGTCTCTCTCTCTCTCTCTCTCGCTCTCTCTCTCTCCCTCTCTCTCTCTCTCTCTCTCTCTCTCTCTCTCTCTCTCTCGCTCTCCCTCTCTCTCTCTCTCTCTCTCTCCCTCTCTCTCTCTCTCTCTCTCTCTCTCTCTCTCTCTCTCTCTCTCTCTCTCTCTCTCTCTCTCTCTCTCTCTCTCTCTCTCTCTCTCTCTCTCGCCCCTGTCTCTCTCTCTCTCTCTCTCTCTCTCTCTCTCTCTCTCTCTCTCTCTCTCTCTCTCTCTCTCTCGCCCCCTGTCTCTCTTTCTCTCTCTCTCTCTCTCCCTCTCTCTCGCCCCCTCCCTCTCTCTCTCTCTCTCTCTCTCTCTCTCTCTCTCTCTCTCTCTCTCTCTCTCTCTGTCTCTCTGTCTCTCTCTCTCTCTCTCTCTCTCTCTCTCTCTCTCTCTCTCTCTCTCTCTCCCTCCCCCTCCCTCTCTCTCACTCTCTCTCTCCCTCTCTCTCTCTCTGTCTCTCTCTCTCTCTCTCTCTCTCTCTCTCTCTCTCTCTCGCCCCCTCTCTCTCTCCCTCTCTCTCTCTCTCTCTCTCTCTCTCTCTCTCTCTCTCTCTCTCTCTCTCTCTCTCTCTCTCTCTCTCTCTCTCTCTCTCTCTCTCTCTCTCTCTCTCCCTCTCTCTCTCTCTCTCTCTCTGTCGCTCTCGTACCTGCTGCATGTTGCTCATGCTCTGCTGCAGCAGCTGGATCTGAGCCTCAGGACTCGGTGCGTGTGAGTTGGTTAGTGCGTGCTCGTCGTCAAGGCGACCGGCTCCCCTCGTCTCCTTCCTCAGCAGCTCCACCTCGTTCCTGTAGGCCTCCAACTGCCAGCGCAGGGAGTCGTTCTCCTCCTTCAGCGAGGACGGGTCGCAAACTCCTGCAGGAGGAGGAGAAGGAAGAGGAGGAGACTTTTGACCAATCTGTTGTTATCTCAGCAAACTGAAGACCCATAAATGAGGAGAACATCTCAAGAACATCAGATTCTGTTCCTGTGGACCCCGGTTTCGTACCGTTTTCCGTGCGCAGCCTCTTACAGGGGTTCTCCTCGGAGGAGTCGTCGTCGGACATCTCCATCTCCTCCTCTCGTCTGATCCCCATGATCTCCTCACTGTGAGCGTTCCTCAGCTCCTGGAACATCACAGGAAGAGGAGACAAACAGTGCAGGAGGTGCAACAGAAACATGTTCACGACTACATCCTGTGAGATCTGGAGAAGGAGGAGGAGGAGGAGGAGGCAGAACTTGTCAAACCTCTGGAGAAAAGCTGACAGTACAAACATCTTCACCGTGACGTCTAGACTGAACTCTAGCTCGGTGTTGTCAGACCCATCAGCTGATGGTGTCAGGAGAACTGGGCCTTCATAATTCTTCCTGACCCGTTCACAGAGGGGAACCGGTCTGACGACACCAGGAGAACATGATCACATCTGAGAAGATCCTGGACTTTTGGAGGTAAAATAATAAAACGATCCTCTTTTCCTTTGAGTCGATTCTTGGATGTTTAGTTTAAATAATCTTTGAGTTAAATTCTCAAGTTCAAAAGTGCATTAAAGTCGCTGCTCTGATGCACTTAAAGTTGATAAAGTGAACGCCGAGAAAGTGAGGAGACGCCGACAGAAACCAGAGCAGAGAGAAGCTTTTACTCCCATCAGCACCGCCGCCGCCGCAGCCCTCCGAGAAATCAGATCTGTTTCCTGCCACCATTTTCATTATCTGTTCATTTGTCAGCTGAGATCTCAGAGTACATTTCTGAGAGAGGAGAGCCCACAGGAGGAGGAGGAGGAGGAGAAACAGGAGGAGGGGAAAGAGGAGTGGAGCTCACACCATCAGGATGTTTTCATGACTCACAGGTAGGAGAGGAGGAGCAGGAGCAGGTCGACTTACCAGAGGTACGAATGATTAAAGGAGGAGACTGAAGCTACAGACGGTCTTCAGAAACTCTCTGACCTCAGATCAACAAAAACACACAAACATAAAACTGAAGGAGGTCTGCAGACGGCTGAGTGGGTTTACAGACCCTTCATATGAGGACTATGATCCCTGCAGCGGTCAGGGGTTCGAGTCCAGCCCTGACCTCCCAACATTTTACCCTGTAACACCAATAAAAGGTGAAAATTGACCAAAAACTAAGTACTTTGTTTTATTCAGCTCTTTACTGAATTGTGAAATTTCTGCATTTATGGTCGATTTTTGCCTTTTGTTGAAATAGAGAGAAGAGGACATGGTCAGGGCTGGACTCGAACCCCTGACCGCCGTAGGGACGATGGGGCGTACTAACCCACTCGACCACCTGCACACCTTAAACTCAGCGTCATCCACACAGTGTCCAGACTTTTCCTGGACTGAGGTTTTCATTAAAAACATAAATCTGAAGTTTTTTCTCTCAGATGAATCTTGGATAAACTCTCTGAATCAAAGATCTGTTTCTCTGCTGAAAACTTCCCCCGCCCTTCTATCACTCGTTCTCATGTTTCTGTGTGGATGAAATATTTATCACAGACTTAACCCTGGAAAAATCTGTTCCCTGAGCAGCTCTGACACTTTCCAGGAGGCGTCAGATCTTCGGTTTACGTCAGGAGGGAGAACCGGATCAGAGAGCCCGTTTCTGCCGTCTCTCTTTCTCTGACAAAAACAACAACAGGAAGTCCCGCAGGTCTGTCTGCTCTCTTCTGAGGACTGAGAGGGGACATCAGAAACCAGAGAGAAGAGGAGGAAGAGGAGGAGAGAGAAGAAGAAGAAGGAGTACCAACCTCACACTGCTTTTTCCAAATGTCTATGTTCTTGCGCTGAGCTTTTGAGAAATGGTCCCATGCCTTTTGTCTGGTGGCGGCGGTGAAAACGCTGGTGATCTGCTCGACTTTGGGGTGAAGAGGGATGAGGAAGAGGAAGGGGAGAGGAAGAGGAAGAGGGGAGGAGGAGGAGGAGGGTCAAAACAAAACAAGCGGTTTATGTAGCGTTGTAGCTCTGCCTGAGGCTCGTACAGCAGACGGAGGAGAGACCGCCAACACACCGACGGACGGAGCGACCACGGCGAGACTGATGAGGATCTGAGGTTTAAAGGGACATGGGTCTGCTGTCCCCCTTTATCACAGACGGTCCTCCGGACTCACTGAGCCGAGGACGGACTTCAGCGGGGTAACGATCATGTGATGGTGACTCCGGTCAAATATAGAGACTTCCTCATCTTCCTGCCGTGTTAACTTGAAATCTCCGGGTGTGTCGGTCTCTCCTCCGTCCATCACTCTGAACTTACTTCACCTGCAGCTTCACCTCCTTCTCGACTCACTGAGGCGACGTTTACTCAGGATGACGACTCAGATTCACTCAGGATTACTGTCTTTACAGGTTTAAGGTCAAATATGTTTACGGTCACGAAGGGGTGGAAAATTTACGGTAAATTTCCATAAACTTTTCATGGGAAGTTAAGCTGGAGAATTCTTTAAATATTCCAAAATGGAAACTTTTTATGGGAATTTATGGGAATTAGGGGGAAATTAATCAAACTGTATCATATCAAACATAAATATACATATATTCTTTTCTGTCATAAACAGACATCCATGTAAAATAATACAATTAGAAAACATTTATCTGAGTGGCGATGGCGAACGTGGTATTTATCTGTAGAATAAAATAAAAGTTTTTTAAAAACACTAAATCAATGACATGAACAGAAATATAGTCGGATAAATAACTGGAAATATTTGATAGTTGATGTATAATTGATTGATTGGTTACAGAAAACCGTCTGTCAGGAGTCTGAAGAAACAGAATCACATCTGAGGAAACTAACACCACCATAACCAGCTCGACCCTTAAAGGGTCAATGAAATGAAAAATAACTTACATATACCATTATGGATCAAATACATTTGATTCAATTTGATTTCAAATATTATAATATTTACCCCATAATATTATCAGAACTTTCTTGACTTTCTCCCTGTTGAGGGTCAACCTTCAATTTAGTAAATTTCAGATTTATTCCCGTTAATTCCTGTGAAAAGTTTCCAACTGAGTTTTTCAGCCCTAAATATGTTGAATTATGAGTAAATAAAACCTGTTCAGTCTGATGACGGTAAAAACTCTCCAGCTCGTCATCCTGGTAAATGTCGCCTCTCTACGTGACATTCTGACGCTGTCTCGTTTTTTCAACATTTTCTATCTTAACGTGATTCTGAATCAACAAACCTGCCAGAACCACAGACTGTATTTACTATGGACAACTTGGCTCCGCCTCCCGCCAGCATCACGACCAGGGGGGAGAAACATTTATATTCTGTGTCATTCATTTATAAAGTTTGTCCACAGCTCCATGAGGAGGCGGGGTTTATGACCTATACTGCAGCCCATCACCAGAGGGCGCTGTTCTCAGAGTGGCTTTGGTGTCCATTCTACATACAGTCTACGGCAAGAACACAAAGACAATCCAAACAAAAGTGTGCTGACTGACTGACTGACTGACTGACTGACTGACTGATTCTGGACCTTCTGGTTTTCAGACGTCCAGCCTGCAGATCCTGGAGACCCCCGCTCTTACCTCTGCAGGACTCTGATATAGACACAGAGGTGGACCTCATCCTGATCATGTGGACTCTGGTTCAGAGTTCACAGCAGGTGAGCGCCCCCCTGTGGACTCTTTTGTCTCTAGACTGTGTGTCGGTATTTGCTGCAGCCCGTCTGAGGAAAGGTCAGAGCGTTCTCACACCTCCACGCCTCTGACCACATCGAGAACTGGATGGTGAGACAGGCGTTGCCATGGAGACGGGGCTGAGTAAAGACTTGCTTGGAGGAGAGTTTGAACGCATATGAGGTGAAAATGGCTTCATGGTCCTGTCTAATCTCTGGATTAATCTCTGGATTAGACCGGACCAGAGTCCCCATAAAGACTGGACTACAGTGACCTGAACTGAGGCTCCTGTTCTGGTCTGCTGTTCTGGTCTTACCTGGAGGACTGAGCCGGTCCCTCAGCTCCTTCTTAAAGTCTGTAAAAGTGAAACCTCCTTACACTGAGTCAGGATGGCCATCAGGGCGTTCTTGAACAGCTCCTTGGCTCGCTCCATCTCCTCCTCATGCTGAGCTTTCTCCGTCATCAGCCTCCTCACGTGACTGTTTGCCGATTGGATCATGGAGTAGAACTGATTGGCGGTCCGACGGTTGACCTCGCCGCGGTCGATCCAGGTGAACAAAACCGCCGTGGCCTCGCTGAACTTGTTATCGTCTAGAGAGAAAAAGACAGACATCAGACTTCTGAAGGAGGACGGAGATGTTTGAGACAGGAACGTGAGACGATGGAGAACTTTACAGGTAAATGACTAAAGATCAAACTAGTGCTAGTTCAGGCAGGCTTTTAACGATCGGAGGATACGACCTTTTAGTAGACGTTCTGGATGAAGGTGAAAGTTGGGGGTAACACTCTTTTGGAAAGGACAGCTGGAGTTATCCCCAACTAAGTCCAACTGTCCTTTCAACAAAGAACTGGAAATCATAGATGCTGCATCATCAGTTTTAGACGATATCTCCAGGTTTAGGAGCAACATCTGCATTTCCTCCGTTTTCATCTGTATCTGAGAGTATCTCCGTCGTGGTTGGTGACCCTCCAGAGTCACTGATGGCGTTTTTAACCCCTCCCCTCATATTCCTGCAGACCAGGATCTTTGGAGGACCTTCGCTCTTCCATCGGCTCCTTCTCTATCAGGGAACTTCACGCGTGTCTGCTCTCCAGAGTCACAGATTGTGTTTTCAGTCTTTGATATTGAACGTATTTCACGGGACCTTTAGCGCTCAGTCGGGCTAAACAAACAGCAGATCTAATCGTCCTCCTGGGGGGCGTCGGCGGCGGTCCACGCCTCTGTGAACCCGTCGCAGCCATCGAGCACAAAAGGCGTTTTTTGATTTGGGAACTTTCCCCCTAAACCTGGAGCTGCGTTCAGTCATAAAAGCCTCGGCGGGCCTTTGTGCGTTTTCTCCATTTGAATAATAATAAGTGAGCGGAGCTGTGGAGGCACGGTTGACGGCAGAACAGAGTGAATTAGAGAACATTTAATGAGCTCAATACACGCCGCAACACAACCTGTAAGAAGACACTTTCCCCGCTCCGATAAAGACTCATTCACACACACAGCAGAGATTACAGTCACATTACAGAGAGCACAATGAGGCAGAGCTGAACGGGGACGACCGAGGAAGAATTAAATTCATTTCCCCCGCTGTTAGAGGAGGAGAATGGATTCAAAGAGGTTATTCAGAGGAAACACGGCTGTTTATGCTGCAGGTTAGAGGAGGGAGGTGAAAAAATCGCTTTAAAGGCTCGAGGTCGAGGGACGAACCAAACAACCTGCTGCTGACGCTGACGGAGGAGGAGAGAGGAGAGAGGAGAGAGGAGAGAGGACAGGAAGGTCATCTTCACAGGGAGTGACGGACTAAACCGTCCAGAGTGTTTTTATGACTTTTCCTGTTTCTGAGCGTTTCTGACTCTGTGTGGTTGAAGATAAGATGTTCCTCTAATAGTCTTAGAGGGGGAAATTCCAAAAGAACAGCAGAAGAGTAAAGAAACAAGAAGAGAGAAATTGAAAGATAAAGAAACTTTGAGTTAAAACAAGAAAAAACAAGAGTTCGCTCTGACAGGAGTGACGGTAGGTGGGGACAAACTGATTTCTAAAAGTGGATCTGAGACATGTTTCTGAGAAGAAGTCAGAGGAACAACCAGACAGGTCAGAGTGTAACCCTAAAAAAACAGCTGGAGAACTCTCTGAACTAAAGGGACCAGGACTGGACGGTCCTGATCTTCAGACCTTCAGGCCTTTTCCATGAAGAGTTGGAGAATCGTGGACGCTCCCCCCTCCTCTCTAAAGAGCAGACGGACCGCCCGGATCTGGTCTCTTCTTGGTCAGTTTGTTCCTCCGTCCATGTGGATCCTGATCTTCTGAATAGAGAGTGTCATGAATGTTGTGAAATCTCAGAGTGATAAAAACCTCTGTGTGTTTCTGTGTCTGAATGGACAGGAAGTGTGAATGCAGCTGAGTGGGAGCAGAGATGATTCAGTCGCTCTGAACGTTTCTGTGGACAGAGGTGGCGATTTCTGAGAAACAGTTTACAGATGAACATCAGCAGAGAGGAGCTCCGTGGTCTGAAGGCAGACTGAGGGTGACTGATGGATTATTGTAGCAGGACTTTATCACCTCGTCATCAAACCTCGATCCTTCAGTCCGTTTTTACATCGATTTATTCTCAGTATTAAAGAAAACTGAAAAACGTCATGAATAAACTCAGACTGACTCCAACAAACACGACACCTCCCTCGAGTTTCTGGGGAGTCGGGTACGATAACACGACTGAAATAGGGAATATCGCCCCCTACTGTCGCAGAGGCGGACATGCTTCTGTAAGGAACTTGATTCTCGCCCGGTTCTTGTAAACTGGGACAAAAACTCATGTCATCTTAATCTAATATATTAAAATCTAATCTAATCTAATCTAATTTAATCTGATCTAATTTAATTCAATCTAATCAAATCTAATATGTTCTAATCTAAACTAGTCTAATTTAATCTAATCTCATCTAAACTAATTTAATCGAATTGGATCTAATCTAATCTAATTTGATCTAATAATTAATTTGATCTAATTCAATCTAATCTAATCTAATCTAATCTAATCTAACCTAAACTAACATAATCTAATACTTAATTTTATTTAATCTAATCTAATCTAATCTAATTTAATCTCACATTTAACTTTATCTAATCTAATCTAATCCTGTCTGTTATGTATCTTCTGTGTAACTCTGACCACCTCCTTCTCAGTGTTTCTGTCCAATAAAAATAATCCAGAGATGATCAATAATAATTAATCCGTGGTCCTCAGGTTTCTGAGCATGCTCAGTGGGTCTGTTTCACATAAAGACACCTGCACAGGTGAGAGGAGAGGTCGGAGCAGTTTGTTTGTTTCTGTCTTTAAAGACGATCAATAAATGTGGATGATCTTCCTCTGTGAGTCATCCCAGCACACACACACACACACACACACACACACTCTTGAGTATCAGGTTCAGTTTGTTTGTTGAATCTGTTTTTCCTCCCCGTCACCATGACGACGCAGATCTCAGACCGACCCGGTTCATCGATGACTCTCCGTCTCACCTTTCAGTTTCTCGGCGAGCAGCGCCGCCTCGTGCTCCGTGAAGTGTACGATTGGGGGAGGCGACGGCGGTCTGAGCCGGTCCTCGTGGACCTTGCGTCGGTGTCGCTCCTCTCTGGCGAGGAGGCGTTGTTTACACTCCCACTCATACAGGTCATCTCTGGCCTGAGCGAAGTCCACGTGGATCCTCCCCGAATCCTTCTTATCAGTACTGGAGCCGATCCGCATCCGGTACCCTGAGAGGAGGAGAAAACCCGCAGTTAGAGATTATTGTGGATTGTTGTGGGATTAAGCGGGTCGAGTTGGTCCTCGGTCTGCAGGTCTATCTTGGACGGATCAGAGTGTGTGACGGACAGCTCTTATGTTTGTCCCTCACAGGCTCAGGTTGTTGTTCTAAGAGTACGACAGAGAGCTGTTTGGCTAAATGTTCTGATTCTCAGGATATCGAGGCTTTCGGAGGATTTACCTGAACGCAGACGGAGACACCGCTGCAGAGGAGCGATGGTGGTGGTGGTTCGAGTTTTTGGCTGCAGGTGTTTTTATTTTCTTACATTTGTGCCAGGACTCAGTTTGGACTCAGTTTGGACTCGGTTTGAAAGAGTTTCCTGACTTTACAGGCGGCAGGAATCAGCACAAACACAGACATCTCTGTTAGTGAGTCTGTTACAGACATCAAGTGTCAAAAACGTCTTAAATTGTCCAACAAATGAAAAAAAAAAACATGCCGACCAAACTCTTCTCTAGTTATACCAACTTTAGTAACGACCGCAGGATAGTAATACAGAGAGCCACGCCCCCAACCAAAGCACCACTCTATAGCCACAAATAATGCTCAGAACAGCACCTAACTTCATCAACAGGACATATAGGGTCACAGACATAGTACTAGACACCAAACATCTTTTTAACTTTGACTCATTTCTTTAGCAAAGAGACGAAACACAACTCACCTACTCTCTTCCAGCAGACGCTTGTTTGTAGAGAGACCTCGGGCCAGTCCATTACAGACTACAGCGGAGTGACGCAGCTCAAGGAAGAACATTCGTGATTGTGCTGACTGTTCTCTATCTCGCTATACAAAAGTGAAAAAGGTTAACTCTGGTGCTGACTGACGCATGCACGGGTGCTCTTACAACAAATGTCCAAAACGGGAAAACTCGTGTTCAAAAAAGGTATTTATTACATCAAATCCAAATCAAATCACCGTTTTCCACCACGCCACCCACGCCACGGTCAAAGAAAAATGTGCTTTTCCCCCGATCAGCGACACCTGTCCCTGGTTTCCTCTCTACATATAACTGTGAGCTCCCCTGGTGTCACTTCCCCTGACAGCAAAAGTCATAAATGTTCTTCCTTGAGCTGCGGCACCCCGCTGTAGTCCATAATGGACTGGCCTGAGGTCTCTGTACAAACAAGCGTCTGCTGGAGGAGAGTAGGTGTGCAGAAATAGAAGTGTTCTCTCTGCAGACCAATCAGAGAGTCCGCTCCGGTTCCCCGCTCACCTGACAGGTAGATAGCTTTGTCCACCATGAACTCCTCGCTGAAGCGGATGTGACAGAAGTTCTTCTTGCTCTTGCGGATGGCGATGATTTCCCCGCACTGATCGAACACCTCCCTGATGATCTCCTCTGTGGCGTTCTCTGGGAGACCGCCGACGAACACCGTCTTACAGCCGGGGGGGCGCTCACGTGTCGATGGTGGAGGGAGGTCTGAGGAGGAGTTTCAGATCATCATCATCATCATCATCATCATCATCATCATCATCATCATCATCAACATGTTTATAAGTTTATTACTTTGGTCATCAATGAAACACCTCAGATCTCTGACTCAGCTGAAGATGTTGATTCATTTTTGTTTCAGAGATCAAAACAAAAAACTCAGATTATGGTCTCGATGTTTTAGTATCTAATGACCCGGTCTGCTAAAGGGTCCGGGTTCTTCTGAATGAGACCTGGTGTTTTTGTCCAGGTGGACCCTCAGAAGATCTAAAACCTGGTTCTGGAAGTAAAGATGAGGTTTGAGGGTCTTACTCGGGTTCTGGGGGAACAGCGTGCAGCTTTTGCAGTGGATGATCTCCTTGATGACGGGCATGTCGGGGGGGACAGGAGGGGGCGGGACTAGGCTGATTCCCGCCATCATGGGGTTGATGGGAGCGATGAGACCAAGACTGGGCTCGAACCTCTGGATGCACAGAGACTCTGCAGGACACAGACACACACAGACACACACAGACACACACAGACACACACAGACGGAGGTTAAAACTGATGGATGGAGGTGGAAACGCCGACTTACAGGGTTTTCTTAGAGGCGCAGATTTCATCTTTATCATCTCAAACATAAGAAAACAGGAGAGAGAAAAACAGAGGGAGAAAAACTGATCAGATGAAAACAGAGATCTGCAGGGAAAGAGAGAAAAGAGAGGAGGGAGTGTGAGGAGCAGCAAATGTTTCTGTTCAGGAGGAGGAGAAAGTGAGGAAGAGGGGAGAAGATAAAGAGGCGACAGGAGCAATGTTTCAGCTGTCTGGGTGAAAATAGAGCAGGCAGGGTGGAGGAGGCGGAGGGCGGTGCAGCGTCACACGTTCCTATCTCCAACACTGCAATAACAAGAGAGCAGGAGGAACCCGACGTCAGCAGAAAATCCCCCGCCTGCCGCCCCCCGCACCGCCATGACAGCGGCGAGGATAAAGTGATTTAAACGAGAGGAGAGGGAGGCTGTCACCGAGGGAGAGGACAAACGTCTCTCCAACAAACAAATATTTCTGCTGCTGCAGGAACGAAGGAATGATCGAACGAAAAGACTGAAACCGTCACTGAGACCGTCCAGAATTTTACAGACCGACCATGAAAAGAAGGAGGAGGAGGAGGAGGAGGAGGAGGAGGAGAGAGTTTGAGGAGCTGACAGCGACTGATGGAGGGTCAACTGAGGACCGACAACAGGACAGGGTCATTACTGAGACCGTGAGGGAAATAAGACCGTACAGACCACCAGGAAGACCACCACAATGCTAAAAACAGGACAGGAGGTGGAGACCCCCTAAAGGGTCTAAGACTGTGAGGGAAATAAGACCGTACAGACCACCACAAAGACCACCACAAAGACTAAAAACACATTCAAAGACTGACCTCTAAACCCTCTGGTTAAAAATACAGACTGGGTCCATGACATGGATAAAACAGGTCTAAACTGGTATAGACTGTTATAGACTCAGACTGTTATAGACTGTTATAGACTTAGACTGTATTGATCTAGACTGTTATAGATCTAGAATGTTATAGATTCAAACTGTTTTAGACCTAAACCATTATAGACTTATATAGACTGTTATATACAGATATATACTCAGACTGTTTTAATCTGTTATAGACCTAGACTGTTATAGACTGTTATAGACTCTGACAGTTATAGATCTAGACTGTCATAGACTCTTATAGACTGTTATAGACCTAAGATTATAGACTCAGACTATTATAGACCTAGACTGTTATAGACTGTTATAGACTGTTATAGACTCAGACTGTTATAGACTGTTATAGACTGTTATAGACTGTCATGGACTGTTATAGACTGTTATAGACCTAAACTGTAATAGACTTAGACGGTTATCTTCTCATTTATGTAAATTAGTTGAACAGCTGTAGACACGTACAAACTGATAATCAGAGCCCAGAGGAGTTCATGTTAGTTTCAGGAGTGTTTTTATTATCCTGAACTCTAATAATGATAATAATGTATTTATTCCAGGACTCAGTCTGTATTTATAAAAGCTTTTTAAACTCAGTCTGTATTTATAAAAGCTTTTTTAAAACTCGTTGTTTTTTTTTATCTTCACAGGCAGATTTTCTCCTCATATTTCTGCTCAGACTCTTGTTTTCCTGCAGAATCAGAACACAGTGAACTGCAGAGCTCTACACTCCTCCTGCTCTCTCCTCTCTCTCCTCTCTCTCCTCTTCTTCTTCTTCTTCTTCACACAGATCTGTGTTTTAGAAAAACTCTCAGAGAAATAATCTCACAAATCTGAGAATGTGCAGCTGCAGCGCCTCCGCAGATTCTTCAGGTCTTAGGAAAACTCATTAAAGTGTTGTCTGAGATAACCTGCACAGGTAAATTAGACTTCAGCGAGGCTGCTGCACATTCATCATAATAACAGCAGGGCGAGAGAGAGAGAGGGGGAGAGGGGAGAGAGAGAGGGAGAGAGACAGAGGGGGAGAGAGAGTTAGCTTCATTTCTCTGGCTGTGAGCTCGGCTGCATCTGCCAAAAACAAGAGACAGGAAGAATTATGGAGAAGGAGAAAAACACACAGAGACCTACAGGGAGGAGAGGAGGAGAGGAGGAGAGGAGAGGAGAGGAGGGGAGATGAGGGGAGAGGAGAGGAGGAGAGGAGAGTAGAGGAGAGAGGAGAGGAGAGGATAGGAGAGAGGAAGGGAGGAGAGGAGAGGAGGGGAGGGGAGAGGAGAGGAGGAGAGAGGAGGAGAGGTGAGGAGAGAGGAGAGGAGAGGAGGGGAGAGGAGAGGAGGAGAGGAGAGGAGGAGAGAGGAGAGGAGAGGAGAGGAGGAGAGAGGAGGGGAGGAGAGAAGAGGAGAGGAGAGGAGGAGAGAGGAGGAGGAGAGAGGAGGGGAGAGGAGAGGAGGTGAGGAGAGAGGAGGAGAGGAGAGGAGAAGAGGAGAGAGGAGAGGAGAGGAGGGGAGAGGAGAAGAGGTCTTCTGGATTTAATTGAGATTTTTTGGTTCTTCTCTGGAAACATCTGTCTGTTTTTATCCTCCAGGTGAGACCTTATCTGTGAAATCCACACAGACGTTCCTGATCCTCACCTCAGACCAACCCTGAACCAGCCTGGAGCTGAAACTGTTCCCAGACCTGCTGATCCTGATTTAAAGGAGAAACACACAAACCTGACGGAGGAGCAGAGACGGCCTCAGGACCAAGAACCTCTGAGTGACAGAGTCAGGAGGTCTACACTGAGGAACCATCAGACTGATCCCAGATCTTCAGGTCTGAGGAACTTTAATTAATCTTAGTGATTGTGTGAAGGAGGAACTGAAGGTCCAAGAGTCCAGATCTGTCCTGGAGGAAACTGAGAGTGTGTCTCTGTGTTTGTGTGTTTGTGTGTTTGTGAGTCTCTGTGTTTGTGTGTTTGTGTGTCTCTGTGTTTGTGTGTTTGTGTGTTTGTGTGTCTCTGTGTTTGTGTGTCTCTGTGTTTGTGTGTTTGTGTGTCTCTGTGTTTGTGTGTTTGTGTGTCTCTGTGTTTGTGTGTTTGTGTGTTTGTGTGTTTGTGTGTTTGTGTGTCTCTGTGTTTGTGTGTCTCTGTGTTTGTGTGTTTGTGTGTCTCTGTGTTTGTGTGTTTGTGTGTCTCTGTGTTTGTGTGTTTGTGTGTCTCTGATGAAGGTTTCTGTCCTCCTCTCATGATCTAAACGTTCCCACATGTGTTCAAACAGGGAGGAGCTGCTGCTGCTGCCAGAGGTGGAGTCAGATCATCATCATCATCATCATCATCATCATCATTTCTCAAACATAATGTCATCTTCTTCATATTTCCCTCAGAGCTGCAGTGGAGCAGCTCTCCCTCTCTCTCTCTCTCTCTCTCTCTCTCTCTCTCTCTCTCTCTCTCTCTCTCTCTCTCTCTCTCTCTCTCTCCCTCTCTCCCCCTCTCTCTCTCTCTCTCTCTCTCTCTCTCTCTCTCTCTCTCTCTCCGTCCGTCCGTCTGTCTCCATCAGCCCCGCTCAGTTAAATCCACTCATTCAATTATTCTCAGCTTAACACCAAAAAAAAAAAAAACTCACAAATCTCCACAAAGCGTTCGTTTAATAAACCTGCACAATACAGCAGTTATTATACGAGCAGAACCACCCTGGGTCTGTACACTGGGGGGGGAGAGAGAGGGAGAGAGAGAGAGAGAGAGAGAGAGAGAGAGAGAGAGAGAGAGAGAGAGAGAGAGAGAGAGAGAGAGAGAGAGAGAGAGAGAGAGAGAGGGAGAGAGGCTCCTACAAATCCCCCGCCTCCCAGAAACAATCCCACAAACACAGTCAAGGTGAGACTCTGAATGAAACATGCAGGCTTAGTGTAGTTATTGTGTAAATGACACACACACACACACACACACACACACACACAGATGTTAGTGTGTGTTGCTCTGAGCGCCTCGTGTGTCTGTAACTGTGAATATGAAGGAGACCTGAACCATGAATTATCCTGTTCTTGTGTTTTTGATCATGTTCCTCACATCCTGGTTTCACAAAGAGGAAGAGGAGAAAGAAGAGGAAGGAGAGGAGGAAGAGGAGGAGGAGGAAGAGGAGGAGGTCAGAGCAGGTACCTGAGACCAGCTGCTGCCCGCTGATTCCCACCGGCATGATGCCCAGGTTGTTCATGGCTGTGGCCCAGGCTCCATGATCCGAGACCGGGACGCTCAGGTGGTTCTGCTCAGCTCCCAGACTGCCCACACCGTCAGCTGCTGCACACACACACACACACACACACACACACACACACACACACACACACACACACACACACACACATTTAAACACACACACACATACACACTTTAGAGATGCTCGTGTGCAACAGTCGTTTCTCACCGCTCGCCATCGCAGGTCGTCTCTTCTCTCCGCCCTCTCTCCTGCTCTCATCAGATCTCTGGTCCAGCTGATAGAGTGATGGACGGACGGATGAAGAGAAGGACAAACAGACACTCTCATCCGGTCAGAGTCACACCATCACAGCCCACCTGAGGAGGACAAACAGGGAGGTCAGAGGTCAGAGTGTGTGTGTGTGTGTGTGTGTGCTGTCAGAGACACATGAAAACCATCAGAGCACAAACTGACAGGCGCGTTTCTCGGAGCTAATCCCTCATTTCTGTCTGACAGGCTGAATCAGGCGGGTCCACATGAATAAATCCTGCAGCAGAGGTCAGTCAGAGTCACAGAGGGAATAACGGCGTCGATTTTCATCCGAACACGAAAAGATCTGAAGAGAAGCATCTGTGAGGATGAAGACAGAAGACAGAGAAAAGACGACCGAGACGACGTTCACCTGCAGGAGAGTCAAAACGAACCCTGAACCGTGTCCTGCTCAAGGTTCAAGATCGTTTAATAAAAAACTCCTGATTTTTAACACGGACAGGAACTGGAAGGAAGTTCAGGTTTCATTCCTGTGTGTGTGTGTGTGTGTGTGTGTGTGTGTGTGTGTGTGTGTGTGTGTGTAGGCTGCTCTGTATGTGGGACACGTCTCCTCCCTCCGTCAGCTCGCTCAGCTCCACACTGATCATCGTTGTTCTGACACCAGAGACCAGCGGCGCTCTGAGCACGTCTCTGTTAATGAGACACGATCAGACTAATCACCGATCAATAATTACATCAGCTCACAGTCGACCTCAGATCTGCTCCTCCTGCAGGTTTGAATATAAAGCTGCTGATTGGACGAAAGCTGCAGACGGGGACATGTTCGCTGTCGCTGTGGGGCGAACACGCGCTGTCAGCGGCTCTGCAGATTTACACGAACGCAGAGTCATGTGACTTTATCAGACATGAACGCAGAGTCATGTGACTTTATCAGACATGAACACAGAGTCATGTGACTTTATCAGACATGAACACAGAGTCATGTGACTTTATCAGACATGAACGGAGAGTCATGTGACTTTATCAGACGCCAACGGAGAGGGCGGACCCGCTCATTGACCCCAGATCGAACCTCGTGGCGGACCCTCTCAGGTCCAAACGCTCCTCTGTCAGAGTCCTCACAGAGATAGGAAAACAGGAGCACACACACACACTCATGCAGATCCAGCAGGCAGAATGAGGTCCCTGATGATGAGGAGGAGGATTGAGGATGAAGAGGAGGCTTATGTTGAGCCGAGGAGGAGGAGGAGGAGGAGGAGGAGGAGCTGCAGCTTCGCTCTTCATCTCACAATCCAGGAGTTTATTTTAGGAAAGATGAGACCGGGTTTAGGGGGACGGGTCTGAGGACATGTGGGTCAGACTCTGAGACAGAGATCATGAGACGGTCCTGGTTCAGGTCCTCACGGTCTGAACTGTCCCTTTAGTGGACTGATGTAAAGATCGTTTAATTCGCCTCACAAAGGATCCGGTAAGAATTGGCGGACGGCGAAAAATCAGAGTCGTTCCAGATTTGGAGAAAACTGGGGGGTCAGTCTCTGAAGTCAGACTGGATCACAGACCAACAGGTCAGACCTGATCCTGCAGAGTCCAGAAAAACCACGACCTCTGTGACCCTCAGTCTGAGCAGGTTCTCCACCTTCACTGTGAGTCTGCAGGACGACTTTAAATATGAACCAGGTACACACACACACACACACACACACACACACACACACACACACACACACACACACACACACACACACACACACACACACACACACACACACACACACACACACACACAGACACACACACACACACACACACACACACACACACACACACACACAGTGGTTCTCCTGGTGTGGTTAATGGAGCTGAGCAGACAGGTACCTGAAACACAAACATCTACAGCAGCAGCTGTTCAGCTCTTTACCTGCTCAAACCTCCTTATCTCCTCACTTACATGCTCAGCTCTGTGTGTGTGTGTGTGTGTGCACGTGTGTTTGTGTGTATGTGTTTGTGTGTGTAATGTACCATCACACCCTCTGTTGTCTGTTTCTCTCTCTGCAGCAGCTTGTTGTTGAGACGATGAATTTCAGCTTCACCTTCTTCTTCTTCTACTTCCTGTCAACTCTACCAAAGTTCATCATCATCAGGACCTCAACGAAGATGTCGACCATGACGACCATGACGACCATGACGACGATGACCTGCTCAGAGTGAAGAGCTCTCTGCTGTCTCATAAACTCACGGCTCGGTCCGTCGACATGATAATGATCTCTGTCTGAGAGCATGTTATCAACCATCGGAGTCAAACTTTGTCACTCTGAACCAAACTCTCCTCCTTCCTTCCTCCCTTCCTTCCTTCCTTCCTTCCTTCGTCTAACAGCTGCCTGGATGAGGACGCTGAGCGCTTCTGCTCACTTTCACGCACCATGAAATATTCAGAGCTGAATGCATGTCCTTTTTATTATTCATGGGCTCACTTGACATCTCTGAATCATTCACACACACACACACACACACACACACACACACACACACACACACACACACACACACACACACACACACACACACACACACTCAGGGTCATATTTGCATACTGGGAGGTTCTGGTCTCAGACTCAGAGATCGTGGAAACCCTCCGGTCACCTCTCTCTCTCTCTCTCTCTCTCCTCGTCCTTCTTCTCCAACTTTTCCAGGAGTTAGTTTTGAACCCTTTCAAAATAAAAGCATATCTTTAAAATAACCTGAGAGTGAGTGAAAGTTTAGCTGGACTATTTTGACTTATTTCATATTTTCCTTAAATCCTGTATATTTCTCAAAGCTAACTGCTTTTATTTTGAAAATCCCACCTCATGGTTTTTTTGGTGTGTTTTAGACGCCTGACGTGTTTTTGCAGATGTTTCATGGACTGGTCAGTCTGATGACCGGGCTGTCGGGGTGTTTTCGGCCCCCTAGTGGTCAGATATGGGTCACTGCAGAGTTCCTGTGGTCTCATGAACAGTCTGAGGATCCTCATTAGCAGCAGAGGATTCAGTTTTATCCCTCTGAAGACCGACACACGTGTTCCTGATTAGTCCCAAAAGCTGCTGAGGAAGTCGGTCTTTAAAATCGACCCATAAATCAGAGTTGAACGTCTCGGTTCTTCTTCAGAAGATGTTCGGGGTGATTCCTCAAATTCCTTCTGCATTAAAAATGAAGATGAAGTCTGACAGCAGAAGTCTGAAAACGTTCAGAGTCTTCAGAGACCGGGTTTCCTGAAGCGTCCCCGTCCCAGCAGATCAGCACTGAACCGTCACTGAGGACACGTTCCTGTGAACCTCCAGCTCACGGCTCAGACATGACTGAGTTTAACCAGCGACACACGACCACGGCGAGGAGGGGGAGGAGGACAGATTCATGTCTGCAGAGTTCCTGCTTCACTTCACCCGAGCAGCAGCTCCAAGTTTCTCTCTCACAGCTGCACACATGCAACGCTGCTCTAAAAATACAGCTGAGGACGGACGCACACATGCAAGACTGAAGAGCTGAACCGTGTTTCTATCATTGCCTCAGACACACCAGAACCTCCTGACCTTCACCACCTCAGAGGAAACAGTTTACTGCAGCAGAGGAAATTCACAACAACGAAGAAGACCACCAAGAACGATGACCGTCTCCTGAAAGACCGTCTGCAATCGAAGTTTTTAGTGTGATCATCTTTAAAACCGAACCTGAGATCAAAGTTCAGATGACATGAACTCCAGACGTCTTCAAGATGATTGAAATACAGCTCCTCGTTTAATAATAATAATAATAACTTTAGTTTTTATATCACTTTTAAAAACAGAAGTTTACAAAGTGTTTCGACAAACAATCGTACATGGAAATAAAAACAAAGTTAAAAACAAGAGCTCCGAATTAAAGGTCAATTTCATTTGTCATAAGAAACTCTGACAATAGAAGAACCGACGACGTAAACTGAGACCAAAATAAAAATATAAAGAAGGTAAGAGAAAGAAATGTCATAAAAAAGGGGAAAGAAAGAAGGAAACAGGAGAGTAAATATAAAAGAGGATATTAATAATAATGATAATTTTGAATTTCCCTCTGGGATTAATAATCTACCTACCTACCCATCAATAAATCATGACAAAATAATAATAGTGGTAATAATAATGATAAAATTTAATAACAACAAAGAGCAGAAAAAAACAATAAAATCAATAAAAGGTTAAATAAGAAACGATTATAAGTAAAACAAAAGCTAAAAGACATGAAGTCAAAATAAGAGCGAGGTAAAAGAGAAAAGACGACCTCAGATAAAATCAAGTCAGAGTGTAGCAGGTGACCTTTCAAAATAAAAGTCAGTTTAATCAGAAACAAAGAGCTAGAATATAGATCTTAATGTCAAACGTATTCCTTATTTCTGCTGATCTTGAACCTTTATTTTGATTTCTCTGATATTTCTTCTTCTTCTTCTTCTGAATCGTTTTAAAGACCCCCGCAGACTTCATACTGGACCTGTTTTTACTGGTTTTATTGGCTCCTCTCAAACAGACGCTGGTTTTTCACGTCTATATTTACCGCCTCAGTATTTCAGCGTTAGACCGAGCTCGGCGTTTGGATTGGTGACGCCTGCACTGATGTGTGCGCTCTATATTTACAGATCTGTGAACACATGAATATTGCATCACCCTCAGTGAACCGTGGGTCTGCTTCACACGTTCACTCGGCTCTTTATAATTCAGGATGAATATGCATCACACACTCACACCGTATATAGCAGCATCCTCAGGAGGAACGCTCCGTCTCTATGGAAACACTGCAGGAACAGCTGATTACAACCATCATCATCATCATCAGAAGGTAAACATGATGAAGGCCGCTCACAGAGACTGTCCTTTACTCTGACACTTTCCCTCCAACAGGCTGACCTTTGACCCAGACGGACAGCAGGACACTCTCAGATATCAGTTATTTTTATTTTAACATTTAAAGTTTTATTGAATTTTTAATGAATTTAAATGAATTTTAAAACGTTTAGACTCGGCGCTGACCTCCTCCTCCTCCTCCTCCTCCTCCTCCTCCTCCTCGTCTTTAATCAGAGGACATTATTGAAGATCGATAAACGCTGCCCCGTCCAGAGAGGTTCCTGGTTTGAGTCCCTGATGGTTGTCACGTCTCTCTCAGCGTCCTGATGGATCCAGGACGTTCAGAGGAGAGGACTGTAATGTGTGCAGAGGGAGCAGACGGAGACTCTGTACCCTTCAGCTCACAGAGACAGGGTCACAGCCCACACATCAGTCAGCCCACTGCAGCAAATTACTCCTAATGAAGCCTTTACAAAGGCACCATTAACCACAGAGACACAGAGAGAGAGAGAGAGAGAGAGACAGAGAGACAGACAGAGAGAGAGAGAGACAGAGAGACAGAGAGAGAGAGAGAGAGAGAGAGAGAGCGGAGGAGCTGCAGCGCTGCAGTAAATCTAATCAGCTGTGATCAGACCGTGGTCCAGCAGAGCAGCAGCTCTGAACCTCAGAAATATCTGAGAGGAGGAGACATGAAGCTCCTCAGACGGAGCTGAGGATGGAGGAGGAACCTAAAACCTCCTGGTCCGGTTTTCAACGACCTGTCAGAACCAGAACCATGATATAAAATATCAGAGAGTTAACCCCTCAGAGGAATCGAACCGTCCTCGTGTTAGACACAGGTGAGAGCGATGTGACCGAGCAGTTTTAATAATAAAGATAATTTATTTTACAGACATGATGAAAACATGACGAAGACAAAGTTCAGAGTGTTTGTAAAGAGACCAGTTTAACCAAACTCAGAGATTAAAGTGAGTTTTGATCATATTCAGATAGAAAGTGTGAATGAGTTTAACTTTTAGGGCTGAAAACAGACGAGAATCTCAGCTGGAAACTACAAATAAACTTTGTCAGGTCGAAGCTGGCTAAGACACATATTAAACCATAAAACTTATTATATAATACACTTATATTATCATATCGGACTAACTGCATAGAAGTCTGGGGAAATACAAACAAAATAAATTTAAAACCTATTTATGTTATACAAAAGAGAGAAATAAGGATTATTAACAAGGTCGGATTCTTCCATCACACTAATGAACTGTTCCTGAAATTAGGAGTATTAACATTTGTCGATCTAGTTGAATTTAGATCTGCACAGACAATGAATAAAGATAGTAAAAATCTACTCCCTAGTAATATAAGGAAAATGTTTCATGGAAGAGAAGAAGGTATGAATGAAAATTTAAAGTAAACCAAGACACTAAAAATCACGTGTCTTTCTATTGTGGGGGTGAAGATGTTGAACTACTAACCTGATGAACTTAAAGTAAAACTAAAGCACAGTTTAAATGTAAATTAAATTTTTGTTTGGCCACACTTATTATCTTGTATATGTTTATGGTACAAATGAGAGATTTGAAGTATTCTAGGTAAATATATAAAGTGTTTATTTGTGTGTATATAGGTATAGATGTATATATTAGGTCTTTGTTTTTATATTAATGATTAGTTATATATTCATGTTAGATTTTGGAGCTTTAGTTACTTTTTGGTAACATCAGAAACTTCATAACTTCAACCTGCTCCTTTATGATCTCCAAGAAAAAGGGAATTTCTTCTGTAAAATTGTCCTGTATGTTTATTTGATCGAATAAACAATCTCAATCTCTCAAACCTGCTTCACATTTTCAACACGGACTCAAAGAGAGAGACTGAAAAAACAGAAATTTAGAGATGAAGCGATCATCTCAGACCTCCATCACACTGAATAAAAACATGAACTGAAGACTGTGAGCTTCAGACTCATCTCTGTTTTCTCTCTCTCTCTGTTTTCTCTCTCTCTGTCTGTTCTATCTCCCTCTCTCTCTCTCTCTCTCCCTCTGTCTCTCTCTCCCTCTCTCTCTCTCTCTCTCTCTCTCTCTCTCTCTCTCTGTCTGTCTGTCTGTCTGTCTGTCTGTCTCTCTCTCTCTCTCTCTCTCTCTCTCTCTCTCTCTCTTTCTCTCCCTCTCTCTCTCTCCCTCTCTCTCTCTCTCTCTTTGTCTCTCTCTCTCTCTCTCTCTCTCTCTCTCTGTCATTATCTCCTGATCAGGTTAGCGCTCCGCTCTGACTCTCATCATCATAATCAGCCTCAGTCTAAAATTAGTCCTGAAAGGCCGAATCAGCAAACTGCAATCAGCTCCTGATTCAGAGGAGGACCTGATCCAGAACCAGCACGGCTCCAGGAAAACACTCATCTTCCTCTTTGTGTGGTTCAGAGTCCACCGCCTCATGACTTCCTGTTTCTGCCCGCGGCGGCGTTCAGCTTACACGCCGTCTGTCTGAACGAAGACGGTCTATAACGCTCATCGTCCTCGATATCAGGTTTTTAATTTCCACTGTGAACTTTTCACCAGAGCGGCGGAGGATTTAAAGAGCTGACGAGGAGGAGAGAGAGGAGGAGAGAGGAAGGAGAGATGAGGAAGGAGAGAGGAGGAAGGAGAGAGAGGAGGGAGGAAGGAGAGGAGAGAGGAAGGAGGAGGAGGAGGGAGGAAGGAGGAGAGAGGAGGAGAGAGAGGGAGGAGGGAGGAAGGAGAGAGCAGGTGTGTGTGTGAAGAGCAGAGGGACAGATCTCACGCAGACAGACAGTCATGTGATCATCAGGACAAACAGACGTCTCTCTGAATCTGAATGAACTAAAATCTGAAGTTTCAACATTTTAAAGGATTTTTACTGACCACCGACCGTCACACAGGATGTGTGTGTCTCTCTGTGTATGTGTGTGTGTGTGTGTGTGTGTGTGTGTGAGTGTGTGAGCGTGTGTGTGTGTGTGTGTGAGTGTGTGTGTGTCTCGGTTAGCTCACTGCTGCTCTTTAAATCAATCCAACAGGATTGCTTAAAATTCAGGCAGTGCTATTAGTGCGTCTGTGGCTCCTGTTTCAAATCCATTTAATCCACTTAGGGCCTGAGAGGGAGCGTGTGTGTGTGTGTGTGTGTGTGTGTGTGTGTGTGTGTGTGTGTGTGTGTGTGTGAGTGTGTGTGTGTGTGTGTGTGTGTGTGTGTGTGTGGGGGGGGGTCAATACTTCAGCCGCCAGTTTGCATTAAGGAGAGAAAGAGCAGCATGAGAAAGAGGAGCAGCCTAATGTACGTCTGACTAATGAGAACATGGAGACCATGAAGGAGGAGGAGGAGGAGGAGGAGGAGGAGGTTATTAAGATCTTCTGTTCCTCCATGACTGAACTGAGAGTTGAACATCTGCATGTTCCTCATGGTTCCTTCAGCTCTTACCTTCACATGATAAGGTCAAATCCTCTGAAGGTCATGTCTGCTCTCTGATGAAATCTACTGTTGTTTGTTGGATGGAGGTCAGATCCATCATTTTTGATTGGGGCAGCAGCAGCTCAGGAGTAAGAGCGGTTGTCTAATAACTGGAAGGTTGACGGTTTGATTCCCCCCTATCCCGAGTCTGTCCATCAGCAGCGATTTTCACCGTACGCCAATTCCTACCAGATCAGTTTGTGAGGCGAATTTCATGGTGGATTACAGACAGCGGGAATGGCTGGAAATCTACTTCTAGACTTCTAGAATCAGCATCTCCTCATCCATGGTGTCATCAGGGTGAAATGACGTCTAAAAACCTTTCACTTGTTCGTCTCCGCCCGTTTGCATGGTGTGAAATACGATCCTCCTGAAACACGGAGTGTTTTATTTTGAAAAGAAGCCGGATGTTTTATTTTGTGTCTGTGCCCGACTTCCTTTCCAGCACGGGTTAATCTGTGCTGAATTTATCCGCCATGCTCCGGCGTCCAGAAAAAATAGAACTCTTGTGATCAGCTGAGGAGTCCGGCGATCCGCAGAGGAACGGAAAGAAGTCGGTGTAAATTGACACGTTAACTTGAATGGTTACGATCAGCTACGATCGGAGGATACGACCTTTTAGGAGACGATCAGGATGAAGGTGGAGATTAGGGGTTAGGTAGTTCACTGCCACGTTGTGACTGTGTGAGTGAATGAATGATGGATCCACTGGAGAGAGCTTTGAGGGTCTCTGATAAAGAGTTATATAAAATCTAATGCATCATTATTATTATTATTATAATAATCATTATTATTATTATTATTAGTAGTAGTATTTCGGATGTTAATTCATTATGATGCAGAAAATGAAAATTAAAGAGGACAGTAAATTAGAGACTGAGACAAACTACACTGACTCAACAGGGCGCCCCCTGCTGGACATTAGAAAACGGAGAACTGCAGCACATCTGCTTTGTCTTTTGGCCGAACTAAGAGGTCACTTCTTCTTCTTCTTCTCTTTAAAGACACTCTGTGTTCGTAGAAACCATGAATAAATCTTTAGTTTTAGTAAAGACGACCTGCAGCTCTGTCTCAGGTAAATGAAGTGTGTGTGTCGTTCACTGTAAACACACACACTTCACAGGTAGATGAAGTGTGTGTGTGTGTCGTTCACTGTAAACACACACAGGTGCAGAAACTGAGCTGCTGTGAAGGTCTGATCAGCTGCAGAGAGAAGAGACGAGATTTCAAAGAGGATTATTTCACAAAATGTGCAGTTTTTAATATTTCAGAGTACAGAGAGGCTGTATCACACACTTCACAGGTGAGAGAGTGTGTGTGTGTGTGTGTGTGTGTGTGTGTGTGTGTGTGTGTGTGTGTGTGTGTGTGTGTGTGTGTGTGGGTGGGTGGCAGAGCCTCCAGCAGGCGACAGCGCTGAGTCACAGAGAATGACCAGATGGTGTCTCAGAGAGAGAGAGAGAGAGAGAGAGAGAGAGAGAGAGAGAGAGAGAGAGAGAGAGAGAGGGGGGAACAGGAAACAGGGATGAGGAGGGAGAGAAGGAAAGGGGGAAGGGACTCAGAGGGGGAGGAGGGGGAGGAGAAAAGAGCAGCGGCAGAGAGGAGGGGGGAGGAGGCAGAGAGGAGGAGGCGAGAGAAGGAGAGAGTGTTCTGTAGCTAGCATTCCTCCAGCCGTGACCGCTCTCTGCATTTTAAACACCTTCTGTCGCTCACAGTCGACTCTGCAGGACCCGGCAATTAGCATCGCTCTCTCTCACACACACACTCACACACACACACACTCACACCTGCACACTCACACGTGCACACTCACACACACACACACATGAAAAATGAATCCTGCCTATGAATATTTAGGTTTGCCTGGCAGACAGAGTCGAGGGCACACTCAGGTTTGAACAGGAGTGGAAACAGTCAGAGATGATCCTGATCCACACACACACACACACACACACACACACACACACACACACACACACACACACACACACACACACACACACACAGGTGTCTGATGGTTGTGTTACTGTCTCTGTTTTAAAGTCATGGTAATTATTATAACCCTCGTTTCTATGGCGATCATGGTCCTATAGTCCTGTCGAGGAAAAGGATCTGAAAAAAATCCGATCACCCTATCAGGTGCAGGGCTGCAAAAACATTGACCAATGGGAGCCATCTATACTGGTATTAGTCTTTGACATGTCAACACGGTAGCTGAGAGGAGGAGGAACGGAAAGAAGTCGGTATAAATTGACACGTTAACTTGAATGGTTACGATCAGCTACGATCGGAGGATACAACCTTTTAGTAGACGATCAGGATGAAGGTGGAGATAAGGAGGTCAAAGGTCACCATGGGTTGATCAGACGAAAGGTTGAGAACCCTAACCCACATTGTTTTGACCAATAAGAGCGGAGAGCTCTGCAGGAAGGAGGAAGCTAATGAACGCTAGAAATCTGTGATTAAAGAAGATTAAAAGAGAAGAATTAATTAATGAGGAAGTGCAGAGGAAGTAACGACTACTGAATCAGAAAATAAATGAACAATGAGAGTGTGTGTGTGTGTGTGTGTGTGTGTTCTCAGCCTTGTATAATCCTCATGCTAAACGGGCTGATTGACAGAAGCAGCGGGCCGAGGCGGCGCCGTCTGTTCACGTCTCCTCTAATTACAATCAGAGAAAACCAAAAGTGACAGAACTCATCAGCTGCCTCCTCTGAGCTCTCAGAGAGGCAGACACACGATCCCGAGGACTCGCCGTAGGGGCGGCGAGGACTCGCTGCGAGCCGGCGAGGACTCTGATATCCGAGGGTCGGACATTAAACTGAAACAGGTTTTTATCTAATCTGACTGTTAGTCTGCAGATATATCTGAAGTATCTCCACAGAGGAATCATCATGAGGTCCAACCTAACTCATCCTGATTACTCCGTTGACTGCGTTACCGCTCTGAGAGTATGGTTAGCGTGTATTTGTACTTGATTTAAGAGTATAGGCCCTCCCTCCCCGCACAGCTGACTTCCTAAACAGCTGTTTTAAAGCGTCTGATTGGCTCAGTAAACACGATCAGTGTAACCACGAGGAGGACAGCTGCCACATTAGACGCTGTGAATCAAATCCTGTTTTTACATGATGTTTCCAATCACTGAGACAAATAACATCCAGACTCTGATGGTTTCAGACAACAGGAAGCAGACGCTCAGAGGGACGAGGAGCAGACGATCGCTCAGGAGAAAAGACTGAAGAGGTCAGTCTGTCTGTGATTATCAGACTACATCTGAAACCCCTGATGAATGCAGACCTGCTCATGGTTTCTGTGAAAGAAGTGAGGGAGGAAGAGACTTCTACTATCAGACCGTCATCTCAGAGGAACAATCAACCAGTGAGGACCAAGAACACAAACACCAAACATCTACGAGAGTGAGACATCAGGGAGGCTTTAAGGTGGAGCTGAAACACTAACAGGGTTAGACTCAGACTAACTAATATAGACTGTTATAGACTGTTATAGACTGATATAGACTTTTACAGACTGTTATAGACTGTTATAGACTAATAAAGACTGCTATAGACTTATATAAACTAAGACTGTTATAGATCAATATAGACAGTTATAGACTGTTGTAGACTCAGACTGTTATAGACTTAGGCTGTTATAGACTGTTGTAGACTAATATAGACTGTTATAGACTAACATAGACTAAGACTGTTATAGATCAATATAGACAGTTATAGACAGTTATAGACCTAGACTGTTATAGAATGTTATAGACTCAGACTGTCATAGACTGTTATAGACTCATAATGTTATAGACTGTTATAGACTCAGACTGTTATAGACTGTTATAGACTTTTGCAGACTGTTATAGACAGTTATAGACCTAGACTGTTATAGACTGTTATAGAACTAGACTGTTATAGACTGTTAAAGACAGTTATAGACTTTTATAGACTGTTATAGACTGTTAAAGACAGTTATAGACTTTTACAGACTGTTATAGACCTAGACGTTTATAGACCTAGACTGTGAGAGATCTAGACTGTTGTGGACTGTTATGGACTTTTACAGACTGTTATAGACAGTTATAGACTGTTTTAGACCTAGACTGTTATAGACTGTTATAGACCTAGACAGTTATAGACCTAGACTCTTTTAGACTGTTATAGATCTAGACTGTTATAGACTGTTATCGATCTAGTGTGTTATAGACTGTTACAGACTCAGACTGTTGTAGACTTTGAATTAGGACAGTCTTTACAGTAATATTCTATTTTTTTTTTACATTCTTTAGCAGGACTTCATTTTTCACTCTCAGGTTTCTTTTCTCCTGACGGACACGAGACTAAACAGCAGGTCAGATTTTCCACCTTAAACCACCTGAAAAATGACTCCAAACTCAGCAACATTCAGATTACTGCAGGAAAACCACGAGAGGCATCCAGAAACACACACACACACACACACACACACACACACAGCAGTGGTTTGGATCGAGCAGCTTCCAGAAATCTGATGAGAGATCCAGATGCTTTGGCTTTCAGCTTCACATCCCCATTTATGATACTGTGTGTGTGTGTGTGTGTGTGTGTGTGTGTGTGTGTGTGTGTGTGTGTGTGTGTGTGTGTGTGTGTGTGTGTGTGTGTGTGATGAAGGTTAATTCAAATACGCATTAACCTTAATTTCCAGCTCAGTGTGCGGTGAGTTAAGCTGCAGAGAGACCGGAGAACGTAAAGAAGCGTAGAGCTGGAGCTCTCATATCTGATCAGAGTCAAGGTACCTCAGGCTGAGTCCGGGTCCAGGACTATGACTGTGGACGTCAGTATGTGTGTTTGTGTCAGAACTGGTCCTCTGTGACAGGGTGGAGTTCTCCGTCAGAGAACAATCCAAACTCTGCAAACCAAGAAAAACTCCGTCTGAAAACTCTGTCGGCTCAAAGATCCAAAAACTGTCAGAAAACCTCCAACAAACCATCAACACTCCGACTCACAGAGATCATTTTGATGTTTGATAATTAGATGTGGAGAAGTTGATTGGTTGATCTCTCAGATGGCGTTAAGATCAGCTGATGTTCTGTGGGCAGTTCCTACACCAACATTTTCTTCAGATTTACTCAAAAAGAGGACAGAGTGACGACACTTTCACTCTCAGACGTCTGTTTCTTTCTGCAGTTTGTCGACTCTGCAGAAGCTCAAACAAAAGCCGCTCTGAACAAACGTGAATTCAGAGACAGAAAAGCTCTTCTCTGTCCTTGTGTTTCTTTTAGAGCTGAAGAATCGCTGCAGAGTGGAAGGATCCCAGCGGGAGGTTTAATTCTTATCACCTCCAACACACTTTCAGTCTTCGCTGAGAGCAGCGAGTGATGCTGCCGTCTGAAAAAACTGAGAAACAATAAAGTTTATTCAGCTGGTTGTGTAGAAACACAAACGAGTGAAGCTATTTTCAGCCTAAGCTGCTGCTGCTTCTGGAAACACACTTGTATACATCAGTACATATAAACTTATACATATTTATGAACCACACAAAACTACTCAGACACACAACACACACACAGGAGCAGTCTAACCAGGAGTAAAGTGAACACACACACACACACACACAAACCAGTCACACTAAGACAGAACTATCCTTACCCAGCAGGACTGAGATTTCAACAACACCCCAAAATACATACACTCTGCACTAGGGCTGGGTGGTGATGAGGTATTAAGGTAAACCGGCGATGTCTTTCAAAAACAACAGTATCAGTTTCAATACCATCATGGCGCCGGCGCTATGTTTGTATGCCTGGAGTTTTATTACTGTAACTACTTCAAAGTTTGTCCGATCAGAAAAATTTCCACAATGTTGGAAAGCTGAGAGTTGTGGACATGCGCACATATAAGATTTACTACGGTAGTCGTAATCATGTGAGGTAGGCAGTCATTGCAAAACACGGGAAGCATCAGCAGAGCGCTACACAGCTTTTCAATAATGTTACTCCCTGAAAGTTTGTTCAATCTGAAAAATTTAAGCGCTGACAGAAATCTGAGTATCTGAGCTTTCTGTCAATATAAGATTTATGGTATATATTATGGTAATCTTGAACGGTAACAACAAAACCGCAACTTTGACCGAAGACAAGGGAGAAAAGGAGAGTGAAGTAGGACAGAACAAGTGAAATAGTGTTTTTTTTTTTTTTATATATTTATAATAGTAATCTTAATCTATTTCTTTGACTGTTGTGCACTTTTTTAAACTGTTTCTAATTAAAGTTGATGATCACATTATGTTGTTATTGTTTCATTATCAGTGTTTGATATTCAGTCTCTGAACGTGTCGGCACACGCCAACAGTTTGGTGATGCTGTCTGAGCCTGAAGCCATCATTTTTAATTAGACACGGTGATATTGTATACAGCGGTAAAATGTGGAGATGGTATCAACGTTTTGATACGACCCAACCCTACTATACACACACACACACACACACACACACACACACACACAGAAAGGTAAAATATGAACATAAACATAAACACACACATACACACAAAGTCCTCAATCTGAAAGTCTTAAAACTTGTGTCCCCACAAAGATAGAAAAACATAGTGAATAACACACACATACACACACACACACACACACAAACACACACACACACACACACACACACACACACACACACACACACACAAAGGCTCTAACACAATCACAGCCCCATAAACACAAACACACACTCAAAATAACACCAAGATCCCCACAGAGAGCAGGGGTCTCACTGAGGAAAAAGGGTCCCCACTCTGCAGGTCTGAGACTTTCATGGTCCCCACTCTGCAGGTCTGAGACCTTCATGGTCCCCACTCTGCAGGTCTGAGACTTTCCTGGTCCCCACAAAGATATAAAAACAGGTCTCTCTCTCCCACACACTCCTGCGGGCCTTCAGAGTCTCGGAGTATCTGCTGATATTTAATGGAGGCACTGTTGCAGAGAGGCATTTATTCAACCTCTCATCTGATTCACACCAGCAATTAAAGAGCAGCCAGAGGCCTGGGGGGGGGATCAGGAGAAGCATCTAATCGGGACGCAGCCTCTCTCTCTCCTACACACACACAGACACACACACAGACACGCTGGTGTGTGACTCCATTGTCACACTCTGTCTCCATTCACACCTGAGCTCAGCCAATCTGTCATCAGGGCTGCGTGTGCTCTCAGGTTCATTGTGACGGATCAAAGCGAGGGGAGGTGGAGAGGAGTCATTTTATTTTACAACAAAAAGAGAAAAGCTTGTAGATCAGCTTCCTGTGAGACTAACAGGCTGATATTCAGGAGCTACAACAGAACACATGTCTGTGTCAGCGCTCCGAGCAGCACACGCCGCCGCCGCCGCCGCCGCCACCGCCACCGCTTTGTTATTGTGTTTAAAGACTCGTTTTTATGTTGATTTTTACCTGAACTGACATCAACAAATCACAACAGCCTCTCTGGGAACAGCGCCCCCTGGAGACTGAAGTGATTCTAATCCTGTATTTGGAGCCACAGACAGACACACCAAAATGTACTTTGGAGAATAAAAATAAACAACTTCACAAACTTCCACTGTTGGTGCAGGTCAGATCGATCAATTATAATGATTAAAGACATACTGAGTGATTGTTATAAACTATAAAACAGTACCATCAATAGTTTCTGCAGAGGCTTGGGTCTGCAGTAACCCGGGATTTCCACCGTATCCAGAACGGCGCCGATCTAGAACGGTGGCAATTTTCACCGTCTGCCAATTCCTACTGGATCTGTTTGTGAGGCGAATTTCGTGGCGAATCACAGTCAGCGATAATCACGAGAACTCACAAGAACCCGCAGATTCACGTTCAATCACACGATAACGAGTCGTCTCTCTAAAGACAGACACATAGACATATAAGCAGTAGATTGTGTCCTTCCAGAGGAGGATCCAGATCTCATGTAAACGTCCACGGTCAGATCAGATGTTTGAGAAGACTCCTCCCGCCTCACTCTGGACTCTGAAATATAGATTCATCTGCTGCTCAGTTTGAGCGTCCGGACTTTGAAGAGACATTCTTCCTGAGGCGAGACACGTGTAAAGGAGACTCTGACAGTTTGCTAACATGGCTGATGTTCTTCTGCATGAACAGATTCATGGAGGTGACACTGTCAGCGCTCACATTAACATTTCAACACACCAGAGGACAGACCTTAAAGAGACAGGAGACTGTGGGGACGGATGGTCTTCACTGAGAGGATCAGGACTGCTCCGACTGTTGATGTTGAATCTGTTTGACTCAGAAGTGAATTTAATTTTCTAATGTTGGAAAAACTCTCTGCTGTCCCGTGTTTTTATTTAGGTGAGGTTAAAAACTGTCAGAGAGTCCTCACAGTCTGGTCCTGCTCTGATCACGGTGTTCCTCAGGGCTCAACCTTAGAGACACTTCGATTTCTCATCACTTCCTGTCCAGACTTCCTCTACATTCACTGTTACAGTCCGTCTAACACCTGTGCTGCAGACTGATATTCACAGATGCTTCTTTAACGGACTCCTGCCTCCTGTTCTCGTCTTGCTGCGTCTTCATTGATAGCAGCTGCTGGTTAGCTTAGCATCGTGGTTCATGAAGGTAAACTGGATAACAGGATGTCTCTGGTTTCCTGACTCTGCATGACCTGCTCTCTGTCTGACCATGACGTCGTCCATCCTCTGGAAAATCTCAGTCCTGCAGACAGAGCAGGTAAAAACAGCTGAGTTCATGTTACTGATGAGAGACACGGTTAGTTACGGTGACTGAACCGTCAAATATGTCTTTTCTTCTCTACGTCTTAAACCCGTGTCCTCGGGGAGCGTTCACCTCAGGTTCCTGCCTCTCTGTGTCTCATCCTGTGGTTGGTGATTTCATGTCTAGACCAGCTGCTGCCTGCCTGCCATCCGGCCGAGGGAAAATCTGACATCTCCTCCTCCTCCTCCTCCTCCTGCCCTCCATAAAACCTGAGCAGAAGCAGATCGATGCAGCGCCGCTCTCTCCGGGCTGCAGGCTCATTAAAGGAGCTTCTGCACGCTGGGAGAGAGACGCTGAAGAAGTATTCAGATCATTAACTGGAGCAGAAAAACCAGAACTAAAAAACTGTTTCCAGTCCAAAGTGTCTCAGTCAGAGGTGATCTCCAGGACTGCAGAGGCTTTTTTCCCGCCTGGTGAATAATTGAATTCTGTGAGGTTCGACCTTGAGACGTCCTCTGTGGTCTGAACGCTCACTGACATTTCTGCTGCCGCCTCCTCCCCCTCCTCCCTCCAGGCTCCCGACCTCACCTGATGGAAAAATCCAGCGCCCTCCGACAGTGATGAAGGACCTGGAGGTTCAATTTATTTATAAGGTGTCTCAAAAATGAAGCAAACACACCTGAGGGTCTGAGGTTATTATCAGAGCGACTGCAGCATCAGTCATCACGTCCAACCTCAACTGAGTCCAAGTGTCAGAGGGTCTGATTAAACCGCTCTCTTGGACTGAAGGTACGGAGGAGTTTTTTTATATCTTGATGTGATTGAAAAGTCCTGATCTCTAATGTTCTCTCAGCTGGATTTGACCATCAAATTAACCTTTCCATCAAACCTGAGAGCTTTACTACTTCTGTAATAAAATCAGAGTCTGTGTGTGCAGGACGATCAGACCGTATGGAGAGCAGAAGCAGGAGGAACACAATCCTCCATGATGACACGATCATCAAAGCCGTTCTCCACCTCCTCTAACCTGATTGGTTGTGAGGCAGACGCTGCTCCCCCGTGTCGTTCAGGAGCCCAAACAAAGTTAGCGTGCTACAATATCGGACAGTAGAAACCAACCAGAAAGTTTGGAAAATTGTCTGAATCCTCCTTTGGCCACGACTGCCGACACAAGCAAGAAAACACTCAAACATAAACAGTCAGCAACAAAACAGTCAACACCAAACCAGTCAACAGGAAAACGGTCAACACCAAAACAGTCAACAAAAAACAGTCAGCAACAAAACAGTCAACCATAAACAGTCAGCAAGAAAACAGTCAACAAGAAAACAGTCAGCCAGAAAACAGTCAACCATAAACAGTCAGCAAGAAAACAGTCAACAAGAAAACAGTCAACCATAAACAGTCAGAAAGAAAACAGTCAACCATAAAAAGTCAACAAGAAAACAGTCAGCCAGAAAACAGTCAACCATAAACAGTCAGCAAGAAAACAGTCAGCAAGAAAACAGTCAACACCAAACCGGTCAAAAAGAAAACAGTCAACAAGAAGACAGTCAACACCAAACCAGTCAAAAAGAAAACAGTCAAAAAGAAAACAGTCAACAAGAAAACAGTCAGCAAGAAAACGTCAACCATAAACAGTCAGAAAGAAAACAGTCAACAAGAAAACAGTCAACAAGAAAACAGTCAACCATAAACAGTCAGAAAGAAAACAGTCAACCATAAAAAGTCAACAAGAAAACAGTCAGCCAGAAAACAGTCAACCATAAACAGTCAGCAAGAAAACAGTCAGCAAGAAAACAGTCAACACCAAACCGGTCAAAAAGAAAACAGTCAACAAGAAGACAGTCAACACCAAACCAGTCAAAAAGAAAACAGTCAACAAGAAAACAGTCAGCAAGAAAACGTCAACCATAAACAGTCAGCAAGAAAACAGTCAACAAGATAACAGTCAACCACAATCAACAAGAAAACTGTCAACAAGAAAACAGTCAACCACAAACAGTCAACACCAAAACAGGCAACAAGAATACAGTCAACAAGAAAATGCTGCTCCCCCGTGTCGTTCAGGAGCCCAAACAAAGTTAGCGTGCTACAATATCGGACATTTTTTATATCTTGATATGATTGAAAAGTCCTGATCTCTAATATTCTCTCAGCTGGATTTGACCATTAAATTAACCTTTCCATCAAACCTGAGAGCTCTGTGTGTCGGTGCAGGTCGGATTCAATCTTTCTAAACTACCTCAGAGTCTGTGTGTGCAGGACGATCAGACCGTATGGAGAGAAGAAGCAGGAGGAACACAATCCTCCATGACGACACGATCATCAAAGCCGTTCTCCACCTCCTCTAACCTGATTGGTTGTGAGGCAGACGCTGCTCCCCCGTGTCGTTCAGGAGCCCAAACAAAGTTAGCGTGCTACAATATCGGACAGTAGAAACCAACCAGAAAGTTCGGAAAATTGTCTGAATCCTCCTTTGGCCACGACTGCCGACACAAGCAAGAAAACACTCAAACGTAAACAGTCACCAAGAAAACAGTCAACACCAAACCAGTCAACAGGAAAACGGTCAACACCAAAACAGTCAACAAAAAACAGTCAGCCATAAACAGTCAACAAGAAAACAGTCAGCAAGAAAACAGTCAACACCAAACCAGTCAACAGGAAAACGGTCAACACCAAAACAGTCAACAAAAAACAGTCAGCAAGAAAACAGTCAGCAAAAAACAGTCAGCAAGAAAACATCAACCATAAACAGTCAGCAAGAAAACAGTCAACAAGAAAACAGTCAACACCAAACCGGTCAAAAAGAAAACAGTCAACAAGAAAACAGTCAACAAGAAAACAGTCAACACCAAACCGGTCAAAAAGAAAACAGTCAACAAGAAAACAGTCAGCAAGAAAACGTCAACCATAAACAGTCAGCAAGGAAACAGTCAACAAGAAAACAGTCAACAAGAAAACAGTCAACACCAAACCGGTCAAAAAGAAAACAGTCAACAAGAAAACAGTCAACCACAATCAACAAGAAAACTGTCAACAAGAAAACGTCAACCATAAACAGTCAGCAAGAAAACAGTCAACAAGATAACAGTCAACCACAATCAACAAGAAAACTGTCAACAAGATAACAGTCAACCACAATCAACAAGAAAACTGTCAACAAGAAAACAGTCAACCACAAACAGTCAACACCAAAACAGGCAACAAGAAAGCAGTCAACAAGAAAATGCTGCTCCCCCGTGTCGTTCAGGAGCCCAAACAAAGTTAGCGTGCTACAATATCGGACAGTAGAAACCAACCAGAAAGTTCGGAAAATTGTCTGAATCCTCCTTTGGCCACGACTGCCGACACAAGCAAGAAAACAAAGTAAATACCGGAGACTCTGGAGGAATAACGGGCGCTTAAAACGGAGGTAGACCGGACAAGAGCTAAAAAGCCGGGTCAACATAAACCATGGGGGACGCTTGGGGATCTTGGTGACCCTGTAACCTTTCTGCTGGACAGGTAAACCGCTTTAACAAAGTAAGACAAGTGTCTGTAACAGAAGTGTTTCTTGTCAAACGGACCTGCTGTAGCGTGTTGTAGCGCCATCGCTAAACTGTCCTCCCTCGGGTCCTGGACTATGTCACTTTATCCTCGTTGTAGAAGTCCTGCAAACATTGTGTTTGCTGGTAGTCTGTTGGCATCTACAGTAGCACCAATGCTTTTGACTTTCACCTTGACTGGGCCCCATTTGTAATGATCTGAAGTATTTATCTGCATTATATCTGAATTTAATTGGAACGATACGAGCGAGCAGGAGCGTCTGTTTGTGGGCGGGGCTTGCTTCAGCTTGTGTCAGCTAATATTATAGTCCGATCAGTTAGACCCCGCCCTGGGTCACACAGACGCTCCAGTATTCACTCTTTATTTGGACCTTTTTCAGTGTTTCCTCTCCTCTGACTTCGTCTGATCGATCTATCTATCTATCTATCTATCTATCTATCTATCTGCACACCGTTAGCTTTAGCTTTAGCCTGTTAAACAGTTGTGTGTTTGATTGATAGATTCAGTATTTATAGATCAGCTCCTGGTCTTATTTTCTTTGTCCTCCTTTTTCTCCTCTAACGATTCTGTTCCTTCGTCCCGCCGCCTCTCCTCGCCGCCGCCGCCTCCCCCTCGCTCTCTCCTCCAATTGTGTTTTTCTTACTTCTCCTTCTGTTTTTCTGCCCCTCTCTCCTTTTTCTCCCTCTTTTCTCGCCTCCCTCTCTACCAGTCACTGTGATGAAGTGGCCGGTGAGGAGCCGTCTCTGCCGGTAATCACCACGGTAACTCATGGCAGAGCCGCGGCGCCGGCAACACGCCATCCATCACCGCCTCCGCTGCTGCAGGAAACTGATATATCAAGATGTAAATTGTGGCCCTGCTGCTCCCCGAGCTCCTCTGCTGTCTCCTCCGAGGACGGAGGAGAAGATAGGGGAGGAGAGGAGGAGACAGGAAAGGTAATAGAGGACAAAACAAGGAAGTGAAGAGGAGAGGTAGAGGACAGAGGTGAGAAGATGGCTGAAGAGGGAAACCTACCAGGAGGCATGATGGGAAAAAAATAAACAAACACAAAAGAGAAGAGAGGAGACGAGGAATAAAAGGAAGAGGAGGAGAAAGCAGCGTGTATGATGACGGAGGAGGTGCTAATCCATCCTAATCCAGTGTTATTACTTTCCCACAGCCGGCACACACACACACACACACACACACACACACACTCACACACACACACACACACACACACACTGATACTTCTGTGTGTTTATAATATTCCTGAACTCACATACAAACAAAAGCTGCTGTGACAAAAACAGACGAGAATTTATTCACTAAACTGGAGTTTAGACCAGGAACACTCGGAAGGTCATCTAAGATAGATTTTCAGATGGACTCCAGCTTCAGGTCCACACAGTGAGGTTCTGACCCCCGATCTCCACCTTCTTCCTGATCGTCTCCTAAAAGGTCGTATCCTCCGATCGTAGCTGATCGTAACCATTCAAGTTAACGTGTCAATTTACACCGACTTCTTTCCGTTCCTCTGCGGATCGCTGGACTCCTCAGCTGATCACAAGAGTTCTATTTTTACCCCGATCTTCAGGATATTAAAAACAGACAAGACTCTGGGGTGGGAATCAACGCATTGAAATGACAACTGGACTTACTTGAGACGTTTCACCTCACAAACAGATCCAGTAGGAATTGGCGTAAGGCAAAAATCGCCACCGTTCCAGATGCGGTGTAAATCCCGGGTTAGCTCCTTCCACACCTCACTTTATCACTGATTTCTGCAGGATACCTTCAACTCTGCAAACTTGAGGATATTCTGGGACTCTGACTAGAAAACAGGAATAATCGACACAAATCTGAGCTTGTTCCTCTCAGGCTGTGAGTACAGAGCACGTGCATGAGGGCCGAAGAGGACAAAAATAAGGAGAATCATTTACAATGACAGGATACATAGTATGTACAATCTACTGCTTATATGTCTATGTGTTTATGTGACAGCTACAACCGTCCGTCACAGAGAACGCACAAAAGTCACAAACTGCACCGTAGAGCAAATCATGTCTTGTACACAGAGTTCTTCTTCTTCTTCTGTGTTTGACATGACTGACTCATCGCTGCCATCTACTGGCCTGGCATGATTATGAGGTCATCTATGACCATCTCTGTGGGCGGAGAGATGTTCAACAGAAGCTTTAAAGTAAAGACCTGAGATATTCTACGTCTATACAGATACTGACAAAGAGAGAGAAGGTCGGCCTCTTAATCCAGTTTATGTTTGTGCAGAAATCAGACTAATGTTTATAACAGCAGCACAGTTTCAGTTTCAACAAACATGTTTTCATTTTAGACAAACTCCAAACTCCAAAACAGGCGTGTAAAAAGAAACAGACTGAAGACTAAACATCATCCAGCTGTGGTCAGAAACACTCATCAGAAATCATCAGCCTCAGACCGCGGCGGCGGCGAGGAGAGAGGAGAGAGGAGAGAGGAGAGAGGAGAGAGGAGAGCGGTACAAACGAGTTTTTAATGAAAAACAGCTGAAAACAAGAGAAAGAGCAACAAGAGCGAGGAAGACGAGGAAACACAAACATCTGATCACACCCTGATGATCGGACCAGGAGGAGACCGCTGAGTCTGGACCCAACCACCACAGAAGAAGAAACACAGCCAGGAGGACTCCACAAGGAACCAACTCAAGAAGAAGAAGAAACAGAACCAGGACGGGAAGGTCCCGTCCTCTGATTGGCTAGAAGCGCTGGTTATTCCTTATGGCTGTGAAACATCATCATCTGTCAGGTTAGGAGATTAGGGGGGTTAGGAGACGACAGCCCGCGTTTGGCTTGAGCGTGTGATGATGTTTCCAGCTTTTCTAGCCAATCAGAGGCGAAGGAGGACTCACCATCAACTGATTAAACGACCAGAGAAGAAGAAACAGAGACAGGAGGACTCACCACCAACTGATTAAACGACCAGAGAAGAAGAAACAGAGACAGGAGGACTCACCACCAACTGATTAAACGACCAGAGAAGAAGAAACAGAGACAGGAGGACTCACCGTCAGCAGAGCAGCAGGTCACGTCCGCTTCGTCCTGAGGAGACAGAAACAGAGTCCATCAGTGTCTCAGGTCTGTGTGTGTGTGTGTGTGTGTGTGTGTGTGTGTGTGTGTGTGATGTGTGTGTGATGTGTTCAGGTTCCAGCCATGACGTCAGCTCCACCCACCTCCTCCTCACCCCGCCCCCTCCAGCAAAACACCGACCATGAGAGAGCTAGTCAGTAATAAAACCGCCGCCGTGTGATTTACAGCATCAGGACACACACACACACACACACACACACACACACACACACACACACACACACACACACACACACACACACACACACACACACACACACACACACACACACACACACACACACACACACACACTGAGCAGCTGGGCTCTGCTGACCTCTGAGTGAAAGGTGACTGTCAGAAACAAAAGCAGTGTGTGTGTGTGTGTGTGTGTGTGTGTGTAGAGCTGATGTGATTACACTTCATTCAATTATCTCACTGACAACAATACACACCGGCCGGCCAATCAGAGACGGCGCTGAGTGACATCACAGTGTCATAAAGTGAGAGCGCAGACTTTATGAGACTGTAAAGAAACTGAATGTAAAGTTCAGCTGCAGGTGATGACGACGTTAACGACCCGTTAATATTAATCCAGACGAGGTGGAAATGTGAGAAAAAAAGGTGAAAAGGTTTAAATTCACCTCAGAGCGCCACAGTCTGCTCTCTCTCTGATTTTCTTCAACTTCACTCTAATTTTTTATATTTTTGTTGTTTTTTTGTTTCTGCTGATGGATGTTTGTGTGGAGATTAGAGTTGAATCAGGAGAAGAGCTTCTTAAAGGGATATTCCGACATAAAATTAAGTTAGGGTAAAATACACCAAAACACCGAGTTAGACATTTCCTTGAAGTAATAATCACCATATTAATCATTTTACAGACGCTGTAGTTCTTCTGTCTTAGCGTCTCGGTCTGATTGTATTTCCATGAAGAAATGATCATAAATGTTCTTCCTTGAGCTGCGGCACCCCGCTGCAGTCCGTAATGGACTGGCCTGAGGTCTCTCTACAAACAAGCGTCTGCTGGAAGAGAGTAGGTGAGTTGTGTTTAGTCTCTTTGCTAAAGAAATGAGTCAAAGTTAAAAAGATGTTTGGTGTCTAGTACTATGGCTGTGACCCTATATGTCCTGTTGATGAAGTTAGGTGCTGTTCTGAGCATTATTTGTGGCTATAGAGTGGCGTTTTGGTTGGGGGCGTGGCTCTCTGTATTTCTATCCTGCGGTCGTTACTAAAGTTGGTATAACTAGAGAAGCAAGCGGTCGACAACATTCATCTCTGGAGGGGGGGTCTAACTCGGGGTTATGGTGGGTTTGACCCTAAATGAATTTTACAGCAGAATATCCCTTTAAAGAGAAATCATAAAACCATAAAGAAATAAAGTCATTAAATTAAAACAAGAATGAAAACTGACGTGAGACTGAGTGAGGACATCTGCATTATAACAAATAAAACACACAGACAGCTTCACATCTATAACTTTGAATTCTAGTTAATTAATAATAATTAAATCTGGTTAATTAAGAGGTCAGCTGACTCAAAGTAGAGTGAGTTATATTTACAAAGAGTCAAACCAGGAGGTGTGAGGAGGTGCTACATGCAAACACGGTCCACAGAGTCTAACATCAACCTTCAACCGATCAATTTATCACATTTGAAAATGATCTAATCGAAAGAAAAGACTTTAACTGATCATTAAATAAAGTTATGACTGTGTGTGTGTGTGTGTGTGTGTGTGTGTGTGTGTGTGTGTGTGTGTGTGTGTGTGTGTGTGCAGAGTGAGTAATTACTGTGTGGTGTTCAGCCAGCTGAAGTGTACAGTGTGTCGGTGCCAGAACGGCCCATATGGCAGAAACAGACCAGAGCCAAAGCAGAGCAGACCAGAATGAACCAGTTCAGCTTCCAGCAGCTCCTCTCTGCACACACACACACACACACACACACACACACACACACACACACACACACACACACACACACACACACACACACACTGCTGCAGTATTAGACTGCAGTATCTCACCAGTATACCAGAGTACCTCTATAACATGTTTATACATCAGCTCACCTGTATATACCTGCTGTATTATACTCATGAACATGTCTGCAGCATTAAAGTGGAATCATCACTGGTGTACTGGTGAACTGGGGGGGCTGCATGGGTGCTAACTGGGAGGAGGCCGAGCACCAGTATGTGCCAGCACACACAGATCATTGATTATCGATCAAACGTAGAAAAACCAGCCTGTCAGAGATCATCAACGATCAAACATCCGTCAGTGGGGATGAAAAGTGAGTCATGACTTCACAGCTCTGTGTTCGAGTAAATATTTGGACTTTTGGATTAGTCCTCTCTCTGTGTGTGTGTGTGTGTGTGTGTGTGTGTGTGTGTGTGTGTGTGTTTAGTTTTGGTCTGTGAGGCTCTGACACTGATCAGGCATCTACAGTTATTAACGTCGATGTGGTGTGTCTCACTAATACATGTGTGTAACGGTGTAACTGTATATATGTATATTTGTGTATGTGTATCACTGTATTACTGTATATGTGTATAACTGTATGTATATATATGTATAACTGTATATTTGTATAACTGTATATGTCTATAACTGTTCATGTATTCATGTTGTTCCTAACTACTTCAGTTGTGTTGTCTGCATGTTTGAATGTTTGTTATTTCAAAAACAGCTGATGTTGATATTTAGCTCAAACCCTGATGATCCTGCTAACTTCAATCTAAACTTGTTACAGATGATAAATGTTCACGTGTTTAAACTAACCTCCCTTTAGTTTTGATTCAAAGTGACTTTCTGTGTTTAGAGATGAAAATCCGTTCGTCATGGAGGAGTCTGAACTGTTAAGTCTGATAAATATCCGGTTTAGTTTCTCCTCATCACTTCACTTAGAGTCTAAACACTGACACACTCAGAGTTTACCTTTCAAAATCAAACAGGACAAACTTCACAAAGACACGAACAAACTCTGAGCTGTCTTTACAAACTGACACCGTTTACCTGCATGAGTGAGAACACACCTGAACAGCAGGTGAGCTGTTAACCTCCTCCTCCCTCCTTAAACACTCGCTCTTTGTCTCTGCTCTTACTTCTTCTTCTTCTACTCTTTTTTCTCCCTCCTCTCTCGAGTGCTGCCAAACTGATTTGTTATGCTAATGTCAGAATAAATCTGCACATCACTGCCTGAGCCGCTCTGAGCTGTTTTAATGACACTGATCTGAGTGAGTGTGCCGAGGGAGAGACGTGACTTTACACCGCTCTGTGAGAGTGTGTGTGTGTGTGTGTGTCTGTGTGTGTGTGTGCGCGCAGATCTCAGGAGACCTCCTAAAAATGATGCTGCAGCTTTTTATTATTAGCTCAGAAAAAAAGAGAGTCGTGCACGTGCAGACATGGCTCTGTTTCAGCAGGTGTGTGCACGTTAGCTTCTCTGACTGTGGTCCATATTTCATCAGATTCATTCATCGACTTCTTGACAGAATAAATCAGATCAAATAAACTCGTTTTATCTTGGAGCTGATTTTGAAAACGATGATTTTACAGTCTGAATTTTCCCTTTAAATACTCTTTCCTGTCACTTTCAAAATAAAAGCTTTAAATATTCTCAGCACACGAAAGCAAAAACTTCCAGAGATGAAACAATGCACAATGCAGTTCCTTGAGTGTCCACTAGAGGCTGACTCCAGAAGTGAATCAATCTCCATACAGTTCCATTGTAAAACCTCAGACTTCACACTTCATGCTCCATTCTCAATCATCAACCAATCAGAATCAAGAGGAGTTTAGAAAAAGCTTCACGGTTACTCTGAAGGAAGGCGGACACACCTGAAGACAAACCTCCATAACCCTGAAGCAGTCGACCCCGGTGCTGAAACTGACCCTCAATCTCCACCTTGATCCTGATCGTCTCCTAAAAGGTTGTATCCTCCGATCGTAGCTGATCGTAACCATTCAAGTTAACGTGTCAATTTACACCGACTTCTTTCCGTTCCTCTCACGATTCCCACTGTCCGTAATTCGCCACGAAATTCGTCTCACAAACGGATTCTGTAGGAACTCGCCACCGTGGAAATCCCGTGTTAAAAGCCTGCCTGAACTAGCACTATGTTTGATTTTTTATTTACCTTTAAAGTTCTCCAGAATTTCACGTTCCTGTCTCAAACATCTCCGTCCTCCTTCAGAAGTCTGATGTCTGTCAGGTTCTTGTGAGTTCTGGCGATTCCCGCTGTCCGTAATCCGCCAAGAAATTCGCCTCACAAACAGATTCGGTAGGAATTGTTGGACGGCGAAAGTTGCCGCTGTTCCAGATTGGAGCCCTCTCGGATGCGGTGGAATTTCAGGTTGAGGTCAACGCTGCTGTCAGTGGACACAGGCCCTAAAATCCTCTTCATCATTAAACCACATCACCATGAACTTCTCATTATCATCCTACTTCTGCTCAGTCTCTCCGCTGGTGCAGATTTTAATCCGACAGATTTCAGGAGCGGCAGACGAGTCACAGTCAGGACTTTAGTCCTGGACTCTTTTTGGGGACAAAACCCGAGAAAAAGACTCAAACGGTCTCA